CCTGTACAACCAGGGCACTTCTCTGTCCCTTTCTTTCTGGCAGTTAATGACTTCCCATGGCTAGCCCCATTCACAGGGTCAGTGATAACAATCTATTTTTTCTCCTAGCAACCTGCCTTCTCAGTTTTCTCAAAACAGCTGCCTGAGGTCTCTGGGATGGCAGTAAACCAGATGCCTCTCCAGCCACACCTCCAGCTGAGCATAAGCCCAACTCTCAACACTCTCCTCCCATACCTGCAGGAAGTAGCCAGACTTGAGCCAATGCCCCTATACCCAAAGAGTCTGGGATGTTTGGATTAAGGCTTCACCCCAGCCCCTGGCATCTCTATATCCAAAGATCCTGGAATGTTTGCGTGAAAGTTCCATCCCAAGCCCCCTCCCCTGGGAGTTGCCTCAGTCCTGACTCCACCTCTGAGAAAACCCTCCAAATGCTGACTGTAATGGTCTGTCCTGTCCCTTTAAGAGACAAGTCCCCCTCCCTCCTGCACCCCATCTCTCTATTTCTCTCTCTTTCTCTCTCTCTCTGTTTCTCTCTTGCTCACTCACTCTTCCCCCCTTCCCCCTTTCCCTTTCCCCTCCATAACCCACTAAATAAATACCTACTTTCTCTGCATGGCATGCCTATCCATCTCTGTCTCTCACCCACCGAGGGCTCCCTGACTGGGACCCGCTGGCCCTCATTGCCTGTGGGCCACTCGGGGAACTGCAGCATTTTATCACTGCAGCTCCTCATGGTCCTCTGCCTGCTGCAGTCACTTGGGAAACAGCACCATTTTATTTTTACCGTAACACTGACCCCTCCTCAGAGATGCTCAAGACCACTCCTACAAGGTATTTAAACTGCCCCCCAGAGAACAAATGTGGTTTTCCAGTGTTCCTTCCCAGCTCCTCCTGGGGAGCTGGAAGGCTACCTGAGAGCACTGGTATCCAATAAACTTGGACTTTTTCTAATTTGGTTTGATTTGGTCTGATTCAGATTATTGCATTGGTGGAGAGGTTTATCGGGGTGTAAAATCTTTACTAACCTAGTGTGGAAGGTTCTGGAGGTCACTCTCTACTTTCATGCAGCTATGGTACCCAAATACTGTTTAAGGGGGTGGTTCTCAAGTAAAGACTGCATTTCCTGGCAGGTAAGTCATGTGGGTTACTGGGTGCCCCAGAGTCCCAAATCTGGCAGGTCTGAGTAGGGCCCAACCATTTACATCCTGACGTGTTTTGAACTAAAGCTCGCCTGGGCTTGCCCACATCAGAGCCCTGCTTTCAGGAGACTCACCTGTGTCTTTTGAGCTTCCTGTGTGGGGCCTATAACCTGTAGAGAGCACATGACAGAGTCACAGAGTCTTGGAGCCTGAGAAGGTTGAAACAAATTTCTCTGTGCAGGTTATATAACCAACAGGACACAGCCCTAAAGGAGGACCCTGGAGGCCATCTTGGAGCTTTTGGGGAGAGCCTGTCTAAGAGTTCAACTCCAACAAAAGTTACAAGAGGACAGAGGCAACTGAGTCCCAAGCTTTGTATATTTTCCTCTTTCCCTAATGTGTTTCTAGCAGCTGCAGCAGCTTAATCATCTGAAGCCCCTCTGATAAAATGACAGCACCAAAAGCACACCCTGGCAAATCAATTCAAATCTCTCTATATTTGGGAGATGTCATGTAACTATCTCCTTGAAATTGAAACATTCTCTCCAGAGAGGGGACAGAGGTTCTTACAACTGAGGAAACCAATGAAACTCACAAGGCTCAGAAAACTCTGAAACTTACAGGACTCACAAGCCTCTCCCCAAAGGTCTAGAGCAGCAAGCGGCTGCTGGGGAGAGGAGACTCTCCAATGGAGCAGCCTCCAAGTTGTGCTCCAGGGATGTACTTTTTGGGAGTCCTCACCCATAGTGGGATGGGCTTTTTAGTGATGTAGCCACCTTTGATTCACTCATGTTCCTCTAAGTAACCCCAATAAACTCGCAGGTTCCATGGGTTTGACTTGAGTGGAACCATTTCTCTGGTGTCACTGGTGCCCTATTTGGGGTGACTAGACAGACTATTGCTCCTGCCCCCCCAGTAAAAGTTCCACAAAAGAAGACCATATTCTCTATGGTCAGTACCAGTTCCCTTCTGCTGGTAACCCAAAGCCTCAGTTTGATACATCTCACCTGTATGTGTCCCTACATGTTTGACCTTACCTCCTCTCCATTCTTCTCCAGGAACAGAACCCACCCCAGGAAGCCAAGACCTGGAACCTTTACCATAAAAGCTATGGCATCCTGATCAAGTTGGTTAGGGTCAGTCCTGTCTCCATCCCAGGAGTTGCCAGATTTTGTGAAATAATATTTTATTTTTGCTTAGACAAATTAGACCCAGATTTCCCAGTATTTGGCTCCTCAAATAGGGATATCTCACTCTGTATGGCACCACTACCTCTGAGTCAAATATCTCAACCAACTCACCAGTTAAGATGGGGAAAAATGATGTGGGAATTTAAAACAATATACTTGAACAGACCACACATCTCCCCTGGTTAACTTCTGTGCTCAATATAAATGCAATCAAAGCTTACAGAACAGCCTACCACCAGCCAGCAACTATACAACACTCAACAGTCTAGGAATAACCACCCCCTTAGTATTCATCTTATTATCTCAATGATTTGTCTGCTGAACACTCACCATAGGGCAGTGACAATTTAAACAATACACAGGAAAACAAAATTTTAAAGAAGTATCATTCCAGAAACTAATCCAGGAACACAGTAATTTGTTTATGAAGAAAACCAGTGAGTTTCTCAGGGGTAGGAGGAGGGACCCAAAGGAGAAGCATAGCATTGTTCTGCCCAAAAGACCTGGTTTTATAAAGCTCTGAGGTGTATCCACACTAATTTATACCAGGATATTCTCATGTTGATCAATTTTAAATGAATCTGAAAACCTCAATAAAAATGGGGAAATGGCCAAAGGAAATGAGGAAGTCATTCACAAGAGAAAACGAGATAAGAAAGATCAGCTCCATGCCACACTAGGGGAGGGGGGCCAGTGAGTACCTAATGTTGCTTCTGGAGGTCATGTGACAGGGAGCCGCTGAAACCTTCGAGCTTGCATCTCTCACTTGAAAGCATCACTTACAGAAGCCTCTTTAAAAGAGAAGTAAACTGAAGGCCTAGCACAGCTCATCACCTCATTTATATTCTTTTCCTTTCCTATTTTCATGTGTGCACAGTGTGTGGAGTGTGGGTACATGTACGTGCAGAGGCCTGAGGTGGACATCAGGACTGGCTCTGGATTGCTCTTCTGCCTTATTCACCAAGGCTCTCTCAATCAAACCCAGAGCTCATCTATACGGCCGTCTTGCTCTGGCAATCCCTCCTCTCTGCCTTCTGAGGTTATATATTTATAAATACAGATATATTTACACATACCTTTTCATAGCACCTCTGACAGCCCTCCTTCCCCACCAGCACCCTCAACTCCATGGCCTAACTCAGTCTCTTAAAAGATACTTGAAAGAAATTTTATAGTGTCCTACTAGGGCAAAATTCAGCATGTAGCAAGACTGAGGTATCCTTGCAGGGCCCTAAGATACAGCAAGCCTGAGGGATTATGTGTCTGATTTTTGTCATTACTGACCCCTTAGGAGAAAGGAAACCCTGAGGATCAGAGCCCCCGCCACCTCAGCCCAATGCTGTGGCAGCTTTACAACAACCCCATCCTTGGGTTGGGAAGTTCATCCTTCTGCCAAAAGGGCTCAACATCTCCAAACACCATGGACATTGACAAGTAGTGAACCAATGGGCACAGAGTGTGGAACAAATTCTGCTATGAATCGCTGAGAGTTTGTCCATTAAAGCACCCGGTATTTGGAACTACTAGTTTCTGGAGAGAAAGACAAGACCTTACAGATGAATATGGAGTTTGGAAGAACTGTGTCTTATCCTTTTTCTACTTAGCTAGAATGAAGAGTTTCAGTGGGCAAATTCCCATTTTATAGAAGAAGAGGGAAAAAGACATGAGGGGTGGGGGTGAAGACTAGGAGGAAGAGGAAGAGATAAGATCATGTGGCCAGTGATGGGAATGGGTAGTTCACGAATAGGGATTCACCTGGCAAAGGCCTGGAGCAGGAAAGAAGAGAGGGCAGTGGCTGAGTGTGGCACTGTGGTACAATGCCAGACATCTAGGCTGCAAAAAGAAGGATGCAGAAGTAACAGATGTGGTAGGCTAGGTCGTGACCGTAGGTAAGTTAAGTGGCAGGCTAAAGAGCTAATGCCATCACGTACAAAATAGGATACCATGATGGGAAGAACATGGGGGATGGTCTGAACTTATTTATAGGTATTGTACACCCTTCCAATTCCATGTTCTCACCTATGAAATTGGCTATGGTAAGATTCAATAAGTGTTTATATACAAAGGGCTTACAACAGTGCCTGGCACCCAGCCACTATATAATAGCTGGCTACTGAAAAATATCACTGGTCTAATCATCCTGGAACAGCCCTTCAGAAAACTGCCAGCAGGCAGCCTAGACATGGGAGAGTCATCATGGACCTAATATTGCCTTTCCAAATTCAAAGCATCCCTCTATGAATATAAATGCTTCTTTTGGCTAAAGCTGCCGCCCTTCATGAAGAAATGTAAACCTCACTGGAAGAGGCAAACTTGGGTTGGACATGTAGCTTATGGTAGAGTACTTGCCTAGCCTGACCAATACCCAGCATGCACAGAGAGGAATATACAAAGTCTAATTTGGTACCTAGCCCACACGCACATGCACACATGTGCATGCACAATCATGCATGCACGTACACACACACACACACACACACACACACACAATACACACCAAAACTCCTGTGGCATGACCTTACATTACCTAGATTTTTATCAAACCAATGCAGCCCAAGTGGCAAGATACACCATTTATGATAAGATAGCTCTGAGCTAAAGTTGAATGGAGGAGAAGGAAGATGTGACCTAAATACATGGATGACTGTCGCAATGATGTCTAGGGACTTACTTCCAGATCCATCCTTGACTCTGGGCCCTTCAGGCTTGGCCTCAGACATGATGTTGGCATTGGCGTTGTTCTCCATCTCAATCACAAAGTCACTGTCCTCTTCAAACTCGGGGTGGCTGAAGATCCAGTCCAGCGCCCTTTCCAGGTTATGATTCTGAAGAAAGGAGAACCACAATGCATTCAGTGTCCAGGCCTCATCATGTCCCTAACCTTGGCACCAGGGGTCAAGCAGCTAGGCAGGAGGCCTGAGCTGACTGGTCCTACGCACCTCTGAGTGAGAAGCTCAGATCCTGCCACTCTCCCACACACACCCTACCACTCAGTCACCAGAAAATGAGCTCCAGAGTCCCCACTTGTCTTAGCTCAGCATTGTTGCAAGCTGGTGGGGGATGAAAAGGGCACAGGGCAAGGGCGGTGTTTCCACACGGCCCTTTCTACAACCACAGTAATTATATACACTATCTTCTCTGTCTTTTGCAGACGCTTCTGTAAGGTAAAGGCACCAATGTGCACACTGGGTTAGTGCCTCCTTGCCTCAAATACAGGAAAAATGTAGAAGGAATGAATGCCTAGGTTCACGGTTGCTCTAATGGAATCCCATATGGTTCAAACCAACCAAATGCAAAGTTATTTCCACCTCCCTCTGTTTGTGACAGTACTAACAAGCTAAAGAATTTGTTTGCATATAGAAACTTCAATGAAACAAGTAGGGCTCATGAAAATACCCAAGTGAGGAAAAGTCTGGTTGAAATAGCTTGAGAATTTTAGCCGGGTGGTGGTGGCGCACGCCTTTAATCCCAGCACTCGGGAGGCAGAGGCAGGCGGATCTCTGTGAGTTCGAGGCCAGCCTGGTCTACAAGAGCTAGTTTCAGGACAGGAACCAAAAAAGCTACGGAAAAACCCTGTCTCGAAAAATCCACAAAAAAAAAAAAAAAAAAAAGAAATAGCTTGAGAATTTTAAAGGAAAATTCCCATGCCCTGGTCAAGACTCACTATGTGCTGAGCAATAGGCCCCGGCAGGGACCTAGTCAGAAGAGGCAAAGGACCCGGAAGCAGACAGCCACTCAGAATGAGTTCTGATGGGGGAGGGGGGGCGTTGGGGGGGTAGCAAGAGTTCTTCCCCGACTATTAAACAGATACCTACACCACCAACCCCTTGCTGCACAGCCCCTCCTAATGAACTATGACAGTCATAACTACAGCAGAAATTCTTCTCTGCAGAGGGAAACAGTGGCAGAGAATTCCAAGAACTTTCTACAAGGGCCGTCAAGACACATTTCTCCAAGGTCTCGATATCAAAACAGCAAGATTTTATCTTACATGTTTTCTTACCAAGTCAGAACCCTGGCACCCTCTTTGCTCTGAAGCTGGCAAGCCCCAAGCAGATCTGTGAGTCCCACTAAGGAACGTTAAAGATCTTCGTCATATCACCCCAGCTCCACATCCCCTCAGGCCTAAGCTCGCCATGTGAGTCCCTCATTCAAGCAATTTAACTTTGTATATACTACATGAAAATAAATCTTCATGACGTGTGATGGGACACAGTCAGACAATGATTCAAAATGATCAAAGACACTGGGAGGTCTCTATTGCCAAGGAGCAAACTAGAACCCCCTCCAGCAAGGCCAGAATTTGCTAGCTCAATCACCAGTGCTCACCGTGGCTCGTAGGGCCTGCACGGCCTGATTGCGCTGAAATCCCATGGATGTGATGATAGCTACAATTTCCTCAGGAGGTTGGTTGTCCAGTCCAGTAGCACCAAATACAGAGGCTCCAGCCCCTCCATACCCAGGGATGGTCAGTGGTTCAGCAAAATCTGAGGAAAATAACTATCCTAAAATTTTTCTGGGTTTTTTTTTTTTGTCTTGAAAACAAACATTGTAGGAGTAATGTAGAAAAATATACAAAGTTGTTTAATCAAGGATCCTAGAACCAGATCTAAGGCTAGAGATGTAAGTCAGTTTAACAGAACTGTGAGGTTGGACAGGCCAAGGTCACATGACTTCCAAGCACCCCTTTCAGCCGGGAAAACAGCCTTTTCATCAAATGGTGCCAGGACAACTGGTTAGCCGCATATAAACCACGAAGACACAAAATCAACTCAAGAGAGATCTTTGTCTTAAGCACAGGAGCTAAAAGTATTAATTTTAAAAATTAATAAAAATAATTTTAATTTCTTTAAATTAAAAGAGAAAACACGGAAAGTCAGTCTTTGGGACACTGGGTTAAGTGATGATTTCTTATATACGACACAAAAAGTGTAATTCATCAAACAAAAAAGTAGATGTAGCACACACCATCAAAATTTAAAAAGTGTCCACTTAAAAGAAGTGAAGACAGGCCAGGCAGTGGTGGTATATGCCTTTAATCCAAGCACTCAGGAAGCAGAGGCAGGAGGGTCTCTGTGAGTTTGAGACCAGCCTGGTCTACAAGAGCTAGTTCCAGGACAGGCTCCAAAGCTACAGAGAAACCCTGTCTAGAAAAAAAAAAAGAAAAACAACAACAACAACAAAAGAAGTGAAGAAATAGTAGAACAGGAAAATATCTCTGGAAATTGTATCTAGAAACCTGTATCTAGAACTTAAAAAGAACTCTTAGAACTTAATAATAAAAAGGCAAAGAACTAATTATGCCCCCAGTGCTATCAGTCATTAGGGAAATACCTCTTGAAATCACCCTGGCATACCACAGTACACCCAGGAACCACTGTAAGGAAACAGCTAACAGTGAGAATTCAGAGAAACTGGAGCCCCCATTCAGCATGGGTGACCATATGACTGAGAGTTCAGCCACTGTGCAAAATTGTTTGACAGTTTTCAAAATTTTAAACAAAGAACTACATCAATTTTGTTCAAGAGAAACAAATTATAAATGCACAAATGCAAAAAAGTTCATATTTCCAGTCACATTAATAAACGCCAAAGAATAGAAACAACCCAACTGAGTATCATCTATGATGGAAGGACAATAAATTGTGGTATGGCTATACAATGGGATACTATATGTCCGTTAAAAGGAAGCACTTTCATGCTACAGCATAAGACCCCTAAATATACTATGAAAAGCAAGAGAAGCCTGACACAAAAGGCCTCTTCCATTCACACGAATGGTCAAAAACAGGCAATTCATAACAATTGTAGGATACCCATAAAGTAGATTAGTGAACATTAGGCATTGGAGAGAGCAAGGACATGGGTGAGACGGTGTCATAGTTAGGGTTTCTGTTGCTATGAAGAGACACCATGACCACAGCAACTCTTATAAAGAAAACGTTTAATTGGGGTGGCCTGCTTATAGTTTCAGAGATTCAGTCCATTATCGTCATGGTGGGACATGAAGGAATGCAGGCAGGCATGGTACTGGAGCTAAAAGTGCTCTATCTTACAGGTAACAGGAAGTCAACTGAGACACTGGACAGTTTCCTGAGCATAGGAAACCTCAAAGCCCGCCCACCCAGTGACATACTTCCTTCAGAAAGGCCATACCCACTCCAACAAAGCCACGCCTCCTAATAGTGCCACTCCCTATCAGAGTATGGGAGCCAGTTACATTCAAACTACTGTAGATGGCTCCAGTCTATAGCATTTCTTTTGGGTATACAAAACTTTTCTAGAATTAGACAGCTGCTTAATTGTGATGTGACTAAAATCCACGTGAATGTACCCTTCTGACGGATATATAACTGACATCTTCAGAAAGTAGATGAAACAAGAAGCTAAGGAGAGGGCCTCCATTTCTTCAGTTTTCTATTTCAAACTTGAAGTAGACACCACATCTTTCTAATCTTTTGATCAAAAGGCGTGGACACCTTAAAGGAGGAAGTTATTTCAAGAAAGCTGTTGATTAAAAGATTAAGATGGTGACTTTGCTCAAACTGCAGCATTTTGCCATCTGAAAACTCCTCTTTAGGGATGTACCCTTGGGAATATGAACCCCAAAGCGCTCCCATATTGCTTGCCACTTACCAGGTTCCTCCATGTGCACGATAATCCAGTTGAAGGCCACCTCGGCTCCCGTGTTTCCAGTGAAGTACACAGCCTTGCGGCAGGCTTCCAGAGGGAAGCCCATCTCGGCCAGCTGCATCACGGAGGATTCGTCAATGTCTGAGGCTGCAGAGCACAGCAGAATACCCCACCGTGAGAAACAGAACTTTCCGTTCCCGCCTTCTCCACTCTTCAACCCCTTATCTACAGACTGCCTGAAGTCCATTGCATTGGGGCTTAATTTGACTTCTTTTTATGCCATCTAACGATTGAGCTATTCGTGAGAAGAAATGGTATTATTACCTCCGTTTACACATGAGGTGACAGGGACATACAGAGCAGAAAATAAATTCTTTCAGCCCACACAGTCCCCCACCCCAAGGACTGCTGGCTCTCAAGCCTACATTAACCCTCCTGAGCCATAAGGCCCACTCACGCAGCATGTTGTTGGCCGAGATTTGTTGCTTATTCAACTTCTAGGCCCTTCCACCCAGGAACAGCTGCACATATCCAGCACAGAAAACTTCTTTGCTAAACTATCACAGAAAAGCTTGTCACACTAGGGGGCTGAAGAGTTAAGAGCAATTACTGCTCTTCCAGAGGGCCCAGGTTCTGTTCCCAAAGCTCACACATAGTGGCTCGCAACCCTCTTTAACTAATTTCCAGAGAACCTGACACCCTCTTCTGGCCTCTGTGGGCATCAGACTTTCACTTGGTACACAGACATGCAGACAGAGAAGACATCCATATGTATAAAATAAAAATAAACCAATCTTTAAAACACGTCACACTAGTAACAAATGTAAGACACCAAAAACATTTTTAAAGATACCTACGGTCTATCAACTGGTTCATCAGGCGATCTGAAAATGAAGGGACAGGTTATAAATGAGAGCTAGCCATGGCCAATAGTGTTAGAAAAAAGAAACCGCATCAGTCCAGGACATTCCCAGACTCTCTCACTCTTGGTTACCCCCCCCCCACACACACACACACCACCTGAAAAACATAGTTCATTACAGTAATAAGGGAAAACAGTAGGTTTGGGGCACTTAGACGCAAATAAAGCAAGAAGTTCTGACATCTCAGTGAGCTAAATAGTTTCAATCCCTACATTTATTTCTAAGAACACTGTCTACTTGCAAATCAAGAGTCTGTACTGAACATTGTTGATATGAGCAGTAAGAAAAACTATTCTGAGACCTCCCTGCCACTCACCATTGCCTGTCTGTAAGCCCTTCCAGGAGCCACCTGCCACCAGGACCCCAAATCAATGACTCGGAGTATATGTGTTTGAAGTGTGCAGTGCGGCCATGCTTCGTTCCTATGTGTCTAGTCGATGACCTCACAGGGAGCAGATTAGTGGTGGAATAGTGACTACCCGTGGCTGAAGGAAGGTGGGAGGCAGTGGGCATCCTTCCAGTAGAAGATGGTACCTTTTGAGTCATCAAGAATGACTATAGAATAGTGACTACCCCTACTGGAGGAAGGTGGGAGGCAGTGAGCATTCTTCCAGCAGAAGATGGTACCTTTTGAGTCATCAGGAATGACTATAGGGGGACTGATGTCTGGAAGTTCCTCTTCTCCTGGCTGTAAGCCCCTGGCTCTGAGGTGGCTGATATCTAGTAGGTCTGGCATATCAATAGAAACATCTGCAAAACAAAAGATTATGCTCATTGGACTCTCCAGAGTCCGCATACAGTTCATTATAAATCTGCTGAAGTTCACTGCATGCATGCATCTAGGCAGCCTAGAGGAAGCTCAGCACAACAGACTTGTCAAGCCACAAGGTTAATGGAAGGCTCAAGGAAAGGGCAGAGAGTGGTGGGACAGAGGTGTCACACTGGACAGCAGCAGGTCAGAGAAGTCAGTGATCACGGACTAGCAGCCAGGCTACCCGCGGTCCAGATGCACTTCATTTTGTGCTTTTTAAAATATGTACGTGATTTAATTTTTTAAAATATGGATATAAATTTAATTTCAAAAACCATGGAGCTGCAGTACATTTTCCTGTGTTAACCGTCTGAGCTTCCCTTTAGCTTATTCTGGACAATGATGGCCTCTGTGACCGTTTCACACTGACCCCACTGCTCTGGACTGCCCCAAACATGCATATCATGCATATGGGAGAGGAGGACGTCTTTCTGAACTATGTTATACAATAGGCTGTGTGTGTCCACCGTGACAGTAGGCTGTGTGTGCCCACCGTGACAGTAGGCTGTGTGTGCCCACCGTGACAGTAGGTTCTGTGTGTCCACCATGACAGTAGCCTGTGTGTTTCCGCCATGGCAACAGGCTGTGTGTTTCCGCCATGACAGTAGGCTGTGTGTGTCCACCATGACAGTAGGCTGTGTACTCCTCTACCCAGCAGCTCTTCTATCCTGCATGTTCCTTCCCTGCCCCTGTTGCACATTTGAGTTTGTGAACTCCTAATTTATATTTTATTCAGATCATACGAGAAACTGTGATGATTCTAAGTTACAAATGATAAAACTCAAAACAACTTGACTGAATCTTGTGTCTACCCCTGGGTGCTCTGGGAGAAAGACAAAACCCTCTTGGCTCAGTGGCATTTGACCTACTCAGACACAAGATTTCTAAATAGCACCTGAGACTTGGGGCTGCACCTCTGCAAACAGGAACAAAAGTGGGTTCAACTCCAATTTTAGGGTTATGTCCTTCAGGCCCGAGGAATAACTGTCTCCAAATGATGACCAATACGTAAATCCTACTCAAGACAGCAAAGCGGGCTGGGCATGGTAGAACATGCCTGTAAACATGGAATTGGAAAGATCAGAAGTTCAAGGCTAGACTCCTCTACACGGGAACTTCAAAGACATTCTGAACTACATGAGATCCTGCCTCAAAAAAACAAATTAAACAAGTAAGCATAAATGTAACAATAATTCAAGAACATAAGCTAAGTTTGAAAAGTTAAATTTTAAGGACCAGTAGAACCAAACACAGGTCAGGCATACAACATTGATACAACTGTTCCTGAAAGGAAAGGTTCAGGCCTTCCTTGAGATTCCTTCAGTCAAAAAATCTGATTTCATTTTTATTCCTTCACAAAAATTCCAAGAACAACAACAAAAAGAAAACTGTCCAAAGCAGTCAAAAGTTTTTCTTCTCAAGTATCTAGTCGCACCCCCCCCCCGCAAGAAGTCAGTAGGGCACACAGTGATCAGTGCCCTGCTCTCAGATCCCCTCTGCACCCTAACCTCCTCTGCAAGAAAACTAAGGGTCTCCTGGGAATCAGGAATAGCCCCACACAAAGGACGAGCTGTCACTGTGTGCCCACCAGCCGCAGGCTCCCTAGGAAATCACCCTGGCTGGGTTCCATCCTCTTTCCTGTCCCCTTCCACCAGTGTTTGGATGACTCCTAAGATTTGCAATGCTAAGTTGCAGAAATGCTCAAACACAATCCCTAAGAGATTGGCAAACAGTCTAAAGTCCTTACCTGAGAAGCTATCAAGGGCAAAAAACACATCCTTCCACCTCCTGGAGCCACTTAAGACCTGTCAGATTCAACCCTGGCAGTGGAGGAAATGGCCTTTATGCCTTGTCTGGAAACTAAGCCTTCCACAGTGGCCATGGGCCTTGCATATGGGTGAGAATGAAGTACCATGAAGCCCAAACCACATTCTTCATTCTACTGTACAAAGCAACTGTTTCCATGTGGCTGTTAGTAAAAATCTGTATGATTTTGATGAATGTCAGGGGCACCCGCTGTGTTCAGAGGCAGGGGAAGGCTACTAGGAGGATGCTGTATCGTGCCTCCTTATACCCCAAGTGTGGTATGTCGACTAGTCATGGTAACCTAAGGCTGTGAGTCCAGAGAAAAGTGGGGTGGGTTAGAAACACAGTCTCTCAGCCCACCCTGCATCTGCCAGTTAGCATCCGCATTTCCCAAAGGTCCTAAGTGACAAGGATGCCCAGTTCCATCCAGGATGCGCCACCGTGAGGACCGCACTTTCCCTCTAAGAGCCCGGTCCCTCCAGAGCGCAGCCGTGAAGGGGTGGTCAGCATGTGGCATTTCTTATTGTCAGTATTTCTAGCAGGCTGTGAAACCAGAGAAAGGTGGGAGTGACAGAGAAACACTGGAATGGGCGTGATGAGGGCAGGGGTCCTGACGGCCTCTTTCACATGCCATGTCTTGTTAAGTGGCTCACTCGACAGTTTAAGCAAAAGCATGCAAAGGATACCTACCAAATTTTCTGGGAACCCAGTCAAGACCAAAAGTGAACTTCTTTATCTGCACTACCAAGTATTCAGGGAATGAGGCAAAGCGAGATGTTCTGGGGAACACAAGAGGGGGAGGGGAGATCAATCAAACAAGGCAGAAAGAAAGACGAATGCAGTCGACAGCGCACTGGCAGCTTTGTCGGAGGCGCCTGGCAACGCCAAGGACCGCCCTGTGAGGAGGAACTGGACAACAGTCAGGTGCCCGGCTACTCGCCACTCGCTCCAACCTCCTGGCCTCTCTGCCAAAGAAAACGCTGATGCAGGCCACGTGAGCAAGGAGTGCAGCTGTTTCACAGCGAGCGCTTGCTGCGACATTTGGAAAAGGGCTTTTCAGCCGTTTGGTTTCCCAGCATTCTTGCAGGGTTTCCGTGTATGTACTGGTAGGTGTTCTCAGTCAAGCATGCTCTGTGTCTGTGACATTCCCCAGATGATGCAGAGAAGTCCTCCCGGCAATGGGCTGGTAGAAGGGAGGCGGACCAGAATTGGGTTTAGGCTGACCTTACATTACTGCGCCTCTTTAAATACCCGAATCTCAGGTAGCATGAGTCCTACAGATAGCTCTGTTTGGGAGAAATTACCTAAAGTATCTAAACCTAGGTCTTGCCTTTTAAAGGATTTTGGTTTATATGTACGAGTGTTTGCCTGCGTGTATGCATATGCACCATGTTTGTGTCTGGTGTCTGCAAAGGCAAGAAAGTGGGGCCCCATATCTTCTGGAACTGGACCTGAAAGTGGTCATGAGCCACTATGTGGGTCCTGGGAACCAAACCCTGGTCCTCTGCAAGAGCAGCAAGTGCTCTTAATTGCTGAAGCATCTCCTGAGCCCATTAAACCTTACATTTTAAAACTGATACATGTTAATTCTGAGTTCACTTAAAACGAAAGATCCAATGTCCTAGGCTTGGGTTTCTCACTTTTACACATAGACTAACTATTCAATTTGTACATCAAATTCATGCCTTTTTTCCAGCTCATTTAGTTACCCATCATTTCCAGCATTCAGTTCTATTTGGCTGTCTATATAAACAGAAAATGAGCCGCCTAATTTCTCGGTCTTTTGGTTAAAATCAAGTACAGAAAATGAGCCATGGATGGTACCGTAGGTCTGTTTTAAAATAGAAGATTCTGAGCTGCCGCCTCCAACCTGCACCTTTTGAATTAGAACCACTGCCTTCTTTTTGGAATACATCTTTTCCCAGACCGCACAAGGCAAACATCAACTTAGTACTGCCCTCTACTGCAGAACAGTAGACACAGCACAGGCTGGCCATAAATAGCAGAAAGGTGTAGCTTTGGGGCTTCAGAAGGCTCTGCAATTCACTGCAAATCTGGGTAAATCACTGGCCCATCTAGAAGTGAGCTTACTCATGCATCTGCCATCAGTGCTCACACTAGTGCAGAACCTCGGCTGTGCAGTGCTCACACTAATGCAAAACCTCAGCTGTGCAGTGCTCACACTAGTGCAGAACCTCGGCTGTGCAGTGCTCACAGCTAGTGCAGAACCTCGGCTGTGCAGTGCTCACAGCTAGTGAAGAATCTTGGCTGTGCAGTGCTCACACTAGTGAAGAACCTCTCGACACACCAGACAGTACTGTACTAAGAAAGAGAAGTGAATTCTGCCAGCCCTAAGGTCTTGGACACTGAATTAGGCCATCACTGGCCTGTATTCTCCCCCAGACAAGTTACATAGCCTGCTGTGTCTCAAATTCTCCATCACAAAGACAGCAGAAGGGAACAGGCCATAATGTAAGGCAGCTAAGAGGTTGGTCCTGTCAAGGAATTGATCTAGGATTATCCTGGCTCTTGGAATAAACTTATAGTCCCTTCAGTCAGGTTCTCTGGTTGTCTGAGAAGCCTCAATAAACATCATTCTCACAGAAGTGAGGACAAGACCTCCGGTTTATCAAAACCAACAAAATTCACCCGCTGCTGCAGCATTTTTAACTGATGCAAAAATAAAAAGTTATCTTCTAACTGTTGGATGGTGTGTGCGAGAGAGGGTGGAGAAAAGAGAGAGGGTGGAGAAAGAGTGGAAGGAAGAGAGAAGGAGATGAGAGAGAGAAACATGTTCATGTGTACGGACACAGCAGGAATGTGTAGGCCAAAGGCCAACATGGGGTAACTGCCCTTCTCACTCTCCACTGCCCCCTGGAATCTTCCTGCATCCCCGCTCCCCAGCACCATGTACACAGGCACGCATCACCATGCTCAGCTTTTGACACAATGCCCTGAGACCAAATGCAGGTGGGCTCTCTCCGACAGGCAGGCTCTCACTCTCAGATTCTTTACTGACTGAGCCAACGCCCCTGCCCCGGAGCTGCTCTTCTCATTAAATCAGTGACATGCCAAGGGGGAGTCAGGAGCCACAGTTGCAGACTCTTATGCTAAAGAGCTGTGTGAAAACAGAGTCATGGCAGGGGCTCAGTCTGATGTTGGGACAGAGGATGGGGGAACCATGGAAGACGTGACTGGTACAGGTAACTACCAACCTCAGTGTACAAGACGGCAGAGTAAACTGTCTCCACGTTTCAAAGACAAGTGTCTTCAAAACCCAGGCCCTAAACCCAACCACACTTGGAGAGACTGCTCCATATCTCTCTGTTCAGGTTCCTCGAGAGAGAGGTAAGAGTTTTCACTCATTAGCAGCAGTTTGAGGACATCAAGTTTACAGTTAAATCCAACAATGTCATAAACGGTGCTTTGTGAAAGAAGAATGAGTAAGTATAAACAAAACTTTTGCATGGTCTTTTATTCCTAAACCTAATCTGTATAGCTTTTCTTAGAAATGTATACATTTTAAATAAAGATTATCAGAATATAAATCTAAAAAATCTGTATGAATATTTAATTTACCTTTTTAAAAAGCTGCGGGAATTAAGTTAGTCAGGTGCTCAGAACAGGTCTTGGCACTACTATTGGGTCTGCAGTCACCTGACGCCTGGTGTCATTATTTAAGACATCAATTGCTCACTTATTACAGCTAAGGCTAAATGCTATGGAGACATTTTATTAAGGGAAAAATAAAAGCCACAGTGACTAAAATGATCTGCTCCATAGGGTTAAAAACCTGCTAAGTAGAAAAGAGTACTAGTCGCTTTCTACTAAATGCGCTAAAAATATAACTAATCAACCACACGCAGGCCACGTGATCCAAGGCATCACGTGGGCGCACACACACACGCGCACACACACACACACGCACACATGCACACAAAAGGTCACAATGACAATAGCGACACCACCCATCCTAACTACTGACAGAGACCCTGCAAAGGACTTGTCCTCAGCTCCCTTGGACCTCCTCAGTTCTATAAATAAAATACTTCTGTTATCAGTGCTTTATGGATAGGAAACAGGGTACTGGGAGGAGAGTCCTTTGGCCAAGGTCACAGTGCTGCTGACCTGGAGAGTCTGCTCTGAGCCCACTGCGCTCATCTTTCCCGAATGACAAGGAGGAAATGAAATCCCTCCACAGCCACATTGGCTCAAGGACAGGAGCTGGATCTTGTCCCGCTCTCTGCCTATTGTGAGCAGTATATTGGTGGGTGAATGGATGTTCCAAACAATACCAGTCTTCCCAGACACGGTCTGTTAGGATCATTTACACCAGTGTTTCTCAACCTTCCTAATGCCTCTAATCCTTTAATACAGCTCCTTATGCTGTGGTGACTGTCCCCCAACCATAAAATTATTTTGTTGTACTTCATAACTCTGATTTAGCTACTACAACAAATCATAATGTAAATATCTGTGTTTCATTTTCCAATGGTCTTATGTGACCCCTGTGAAAGGGTTGCTCCCAAAGGGGTCGAGACCCACAGGTTGAGAACCACTGATTGAAAAGCTCATTGTTTCTAGGTCCATCCTGACCTACTGGTGCACCAAGATCAATCTACTCTTTGCTTGTTTGTAATGCAGAGGTGTGTGTGTGTGTGTGTGTGTGTGTGTGTGTGTGGTCTACGCTGACCTTGATATCTCTCAATCGCCCAGATTGCCCATGAACTCAACCATCCTCCTGCCTCAGCTTTCCCAGTTTGGGGATTACAGGGATGTACTACCACACCTGGCCACCAAGGATACCTTATGCCTTTTCCTGGATGTTCAGGCTCTGGGTCTAACGAAAGGAAAATTCAAGACCTCACACTAACAAAATGTCAGTCAAATTATAGCCTACATGGCTAAAAATAAATTAATTAAAAATAATGAATTCCCAGAAATTCACTAGCTGGCTTTGCCAAATGCCAAGATTAGCATTTGGAACATTATAAAGTATAATAAGGAACACTAATCATGGCTACATATGGACATGCGTATAACATGGTGGTAACACAGATAAATCTGGGTTAGGAGTACAGTCAGACCAGGTCATTCTCCCAAGCAGGCCACTTACCGGCCAATTGCTTCTCTTTCCAGTGACCTCTCTGGGAAGTGGGAGACTAAAGGAGCCTACCTCACACCACTAAGAGCATTTTAAAAACTTGGGGGTGGGAGGCTGGGCTATAGCAAGACCCTACCTCAAAACACAACAGAAATAATAATAAAAGATACAGCTGACAGCAAGTTCATCACAAGCGCCTCAGGAAATTGTAAAGGGTGGGTATTTTAGGAGCTCTCATCTTTTTCTGTCCCACAAGGACTGTGTCTTCATATAACAACAATTGTGATACAATGCTAATTCTTTTCACACCTAGAAAAAGCATATGCACTCTGAGGAGATAGCTCTTTAGGGACCTGGGTTCAGATACCCAGGCATTGATATACTCAATCATTCCCGTGCCCTCACAGTGAGGTGCGAGGTGGAGCCATAAGAATCCCTGGAACTTGCAGGACTGGCTGCCATATGGCTGCGATATGCAAGGACAATAACAAGAGAGGCCAAGGTTGTTCTCTTCCACATATACCATGAGGTAAGTATGTACCTGTACACATTGCACATGCTTGCACACACACACTTACACACACACACTTACACACACACACACACACACACAATCAGCAGTCCCTATGATAAAACTTACCTAAGGACAGACCGCTGTTAACAGAATGAATGGCTACTAATCCCCATCTGCACGAGGATCTTTTCAAAGTTAATTTGATAAAAAATGGGGCTTTTGTTGCATTTTGTTTTACTTTGTTTTGTTATTTTGGGTTCTCTGATTTCGCTCTGAGGTATATGGGGACTGGAATTTTGGAGTGGTTGTTGTTTTGTTTTGTTTTGTTTTCTGCAGCACTGGGAAACAAACCCAGGGCTCATACACACCTAGCAGGCCCTCTGCCACGGAGATGTGTCTCTAACTCTTAACCTTTGAAATAAATGGTCTTATTTTCCTGTTTCTGGCATGTGACATCTAACCTGAAGCAAACAGGATCCTGAAGGCTCTGCAGACAGCAACCAAGGGCAGGCCTGCGTGCCAATCAGGCTGTAGGGGAAAACAGCAGGGCAGCACGGCCCTGCACGCTTCACTCTGTCAACTCAGACCTCACTCTCGCCCTTCAAGAGGAGGCCAAAAACATTCCCCAGAGACAAGCTTCCAGCAGCTAAGAATATAGCTGGCTGATAGCTTGCTTGTTTAGCATCTATGAAATCCTGGGCTCAATCTCCAGCACGGAAGGGGAGTGTAGAGGAGGAAGCAGACTTCCCAATTAAAAGGAAAACAGGGAGAACTGGATGGACATAACTCCCAGTAGCCCTTTACTCTGTCTCTGTAAGCGCTCTTTCCCCCACTCAAGGGGCAACCTGAAGAGTGTTAGCAAGCACTGACTCTATCAGATCATCAAGTGGAGAAAAGACTGCATGGACCTAACATCATATGAACATGACGCATCTCCTAACTGGGCCGTAAGGGGCTCACCATGCAAACGCTCATGCCCACCTAGCATGCCCAAGACTTCCCCGAGACGCACACGATCAACCAAGGCCTATGCCAAAACATAACTGTAAAACTACAACATACTGCTCCAGGGTTTACATATCGAAGGCTGCCATGAGTGGTTTGGGGATTTCTTTACCAGTAACCATTCTTGCCATGTGGGAGCCAGGGTGTTTCTCAACCCTACTCTTGTGGCAAGAGAGGGAAAAAAAAAGGCAAATCTCAACTGCAGAATAAACCTCAATTTTTCTTTTTTTGAAATACAAAAGGGGGGGTGAACACTCCCCCACCCAGCACATAACCAGAATCACAGGATGGACTGTCCTATTGGTCAGGCTCATCGAGTGAGACGTGAATGACAGCTACAGGTGACCATCGCAATCCATCCCACCCTCATGAACAGCATCCACAAACTCCCAGAACACCCAGCCCCCTCTGCTGCCTCTGCCCCCACGTCCCCCAGGGACTGCCAGCCCTACTCACTTCACCCCTGCAGACTTGGCCTGCAGGGCACTGCTCCAGAAATCCTCCACGTTGTCTGGTTCGGCAAAGGCCTGGAGGCAGGCACTGAAGGGGATCTTGGCTCGCACCAGCTCGGGAAGGGGTCTTCGGTTTGCTTCGGCTTCTCTTCTCATCAATTCATAGGCAATCAGCTCATCTGAGGAAGAGCAAGGAAGGAACCTGCAGTGGTCGCACTTCTCTTGGGCACAGAAGCCACACCCCTTTGGGTGGTCTATTTCCTTATAGGTCAGGATTGCTGCCTGTCGGTCTGTTCCAGAAGTCTGCCCAAAGACCCTTCCCAAGACTTATAGGCTTTGTGGAGTCAGAAATACTTTTTAATTCTATTTTCATATGTTTGCTTGTTTATTTATTTTTGAAACAGGATTTCTCTGTGTGGTCCTGGCTGTCCTGGAACTCACTCTGTAGACCAGGCTGGCCTTGAACTCCCAAAGATCTGCCTGCCTCTGCCTCCTGAATGCTGAGATTAAAGGTTTGAGCAACCAGTGCTCAGCTATCACTCCTATTTTTCTTTACTCTTGCTTGTTTTGCTATTTCATTTTGAGACCAACAGGAAGGAACTGAGTCCAGATGCGACAACAATGACTCAGGGACCTACTGTTCCATTTTCCCACCCTCCAGTGGCCCAAGTGCTGCTCTTCTACCGAGTCACACCAGAGTTTGCAGCTGTCGGGGAACCAACAGCTCTCCTCTCCCCAGGCCCTTCACTTCCCTGACAAAGAAACTAAGGCCACTGAGAAGCCTAGACTTAAAGGCCTGGCCAACAAACACAGATGAGGCCCAAAAGAGATATAACCCCGATGCTCGGGGTTTTTCAAATGATTGGGTGCTTGGTTGGGGAGGGACTGCCAACTTTAAGTTGTCTCAAAAAGAACATGGCCAAGGGAAGGAGATAAATCAGGACTGTCAGCGAGCTCCAGACAATGGTGAGAATTGGTGTAATGTGCTTTCTGATTTGCTTCCTCCAGCCACTGTGACTACAGTCATGGGTCCCACAACGGCATGAGGTTAAAGGGAGCATGTGTCTAAGCCTGCCTTCATCCACCAACACCATCCTGGAAATACAACCGACCCTCAGAAACAGCACCCAGTCCACTGCTTTCTGGGGCAATAATAAAAGGAAAGAAGTGAGTGTGCTGGGGATCCTTGAGGGACCAGGGATCTGCTCCCATTTTGACACTAACTGCAGGTAAAACATCACAGGTACTTTGAATATCATTTCCTTTCCGGTTGATTATTTCACAATAGCAACAACAATAACAAAAATCCCCTCCTAATAGATTGGCTTATGCACATACATATTTCCTAACCCCCTCTGAAAAGCTTTTAAAACCCCTTCTCAGCCAGTGGAGCACGCCTTTAATCCCAGCACTCAGGAGGCTGAGGCAGGCAGATCTCTGTGAGTTCAGGGCCAGCCTGGTCTACAAGAGCTAGTGCCAGGACAGGCTCTAAAGCTACAGAGAAACCCTGTCTCGAAAGCCCACCCCACAAAATAAAAAACACCGTCTCTGTCTACCGTCAGTTTACACAGTTTACAACACAGTACTTCTATCTAGCCTGCAAACGTTAAATGTTACGAGAAATCCAGAAACTAAACTACATGCCTCCTTTCTTTTCTTAAAAAGATGACCACTCATGTAGCGAATGGAGACCACAGGACTGTATTAATGCTTTTAAAATGCAAACGGGTTCACTCTGCCTCGCCCTACCAACTACATCGGTAAAGCAACTGCTCAAGTGGGAGCCTGATGCTTCCCTGACAGCGGAAATCATCACAAGAGGATCCGGATGGCAGCCTTGCATGGAGGCCGCTTCTACAGTGACGCCTGCTGGGCCCGAGTGCTGCTGCTCCTCCTAACCCTGTAGCTGGGGTTGCGGTAAGCCAACTCATGCAACTCTCCTCATTTTGCATTTACAAAGGTCCCTCTGCACACCATCCTCACACACACACACACACACACACACACACACACACACATCCTATATAGCATGTGAATTCCCTTTGAGAAACTGAGCACTGAGACTCTCAAACCAACATTAATTTTAGAGAACATCTTTGTCACGGAGGCTGACAGACCTGAACAGAACCTGTAAATCTGAGGTGAGCAAGGAAAACCAATTGTTCCTTCCAGTGGCTCAGACTGACAATCAACTTGTCAGGTTCTCCCAGCATCTAGGAGGTAAAACCTCCAGGCATAGCCCTCGGGGATTATCTAGATTAGTTTAGCGGCTGACCAAGCCTGTGAGGGATTGTCTTGATTAGGTTCATTTGAAGGGGAAGATCCACCCTAAAAATGAGTAGCCCCATCAGCATCCTGAGTGCATATGAAGAAGACGGCAAGCTGAACACAAGCTTCCTCTGCTTCCAGGTTAGAAAGAAATGTAACCAGCTCCCTTCACCTTTCGACACAACTTTCCTGTAATGAAGGACTACATGCTGTAACTTCGGCACAAAATAAGCCCTCCTTCCCTCCCTTCCTCTGTTCCTCCCTCTCTTTCTCCCTCTTTCCCTTCCTCCCTTCCTCTCTCCCTCCCTTTTTCCCTCTCTCCCTCCCTCCCTCTCTTTCTCTCCCTTTTTCCCTCCCTCCCTTCCTTCCTCCCTTCCTTCCTCCCTCCCTTCCCCCAGTGACTTTCATCAGGCACTTCATGGAACAACAGGAAAAGTAAGACAGCCCTCACTCTCAAAACGCAATAAAGCACACACTCCACAGCCTTCCGTATTTCAGATGATGGTCAAGAATCTAAATGCAACCCAAAGCTGTATGCATGCATAGACAATGGAAATAATTTCATCTTTAAACCACCAGGACCATCACTTCCAATATCATAATTAACTCCCCTAAATTGTAGCAATAGGCACTGAAAGAGGAAATTTTACAAGAATGGCAGGTAACCCAACATGAACAATCCAACAGCCATTTTGCCCTTTTCCTCTCTAAGACAAAACTCTAAGGAATACCATCCATCCCTCCTGCCTGGGAAGAATCAGATCACACTGACAGTATGGGAAGGAGCCATGCCCTGAAAGGCTACATGATGGCACTCTCCTGCATTTCAAAGTCCAGGCATTCTCCTCTTGGGCCTCACTGTTACAGAGTGCCCTGCCTGCAAGTCACCTCTCAGGAGGCCTGCCTTAAAGACTCAGGTAGAAAATCTCTAATTCCACTTCTAACACCCAAAGATCCATTTCCATCCAGCTTATACCAGAGCATCTTTTCAGTGTCATGAGAGAACCCTACCCACATCGCCACAAACAACATAACTGTGCTGACTGCAGCCTAACCGTGCGCCCCATTTCTGGGTTCAAAAGCAGCCCCTGTCCAGAATCCTCTGCAAAGGCCTGCATGATACATTTAGCCACCTCCACAGACAGTCACATGGGGATTTGGAAAAAATGAGAAGGGCCGTGCAACGCAAACACAGCCCCATCCATCCCAGTGACCGGGCACCTTATCCCTGGGGCAGGTCTGCCCGCAGGGAGGCACACATGGCTCTTTTCCCACCCAGGACTGTTACCTTTGTTGGTTGCTGCCTCCATGGCTACAGGTAACTGCATCAGGTAGTCCACCCTCTCCGTATAGCGGACCTTGCGGGTCTGACAGCACTGAATGCGCTCTTCCACCAAAAACCGGAAAACATCACTTGGGTTTTCTGAGCCAATGCGATTCCTCTGAAGGTCAGATAGAACCAGGTGAGCGGATACAGGGGAATGAAGCCGTGAATAAAATATAGCACAATGTCAACTACGATTCAGCATCAAGATCTTTCTTTATGGAGCATTTTTTTTCTGGACATGAGAGTCAACCAGATTAAGACACTGTGATTTGGGGAATGGGGGGGCGGGGAATGGGAAAAGGGGAGGAGGTGAAAATTTGCAATAATAATAATAATAATAATAGACACTGTGATTTATATAGTGTCCCCAAATGAGGGGTTGGATAAATAAATTCAAGTTCACCTGTGAAGTAATATTACAAAGTCATTAAAACCACAGAAGACAGATAGGTGTTGATGGGATTAGAAGAAATAAGGAAGATAAGCTAATGAATAGAAAGAGGAAAATCTACTGTCCTGGGGAAACAAGATATGTTTGATACAGTTTCAGATGCACTTAATGTAGACTATAGACAAATGAAGAAACCATGCTATATTAGGGCACATGAGGATATGGCAATAAGCTAAGGAAAACCCTGCTCACACCCAGAATTCACACGCAGTTGGGAAAAATACTACTCTCACACCCAGAATTCACACGCGATTGGGGAATGACTGAAGGCTCAGCTGCCAAAATGTTAGCCACAGCGCCTGCTATTATGACAGCTCTGATTTGCTCCTCTGAGTTTTCTCCCTTTTCTGTAAAGAACACTTTCCTAACCAAGGGGGAAAGGCTGCTATTCTGTTCTGTTTAAGGTGAATTCTTCATGGCTTCCACAGGATTCAGCTCTGGTGCACCAGCAGCGTGATCACCTGAGTGGTAGCGGCTGGATATCAGAGACCTGGAGGGACTCTCAGGGGGCTCTGTGCAGAGGCCAGGCACACCCATCACACACACAGCGTGAAAGCCATACAAAGCCGGCAGCATCTGGAACCCGAATGTGAGAGGCAGCCACATCAAGTGCCAGGGGAGACAGCCACCGGGAGGCCCAGTGAATGACTGATGTAAAGAAAAGGGGCATTTCATTTCTTCATGCCACCCCTAGAGCAGCTGGTGCATGTCTAACTACTCTGTGGGACACTCTCCGGACTTACCTCTACCAGATTGACCAGGTGCAAGAAAAACTCCTGGGCATCTTGCTGTCTGTTAGAGGAAAATTCTGGATGGCTCTTGCTGACAAAGGCCTTGAACATGCGTGGGGAGATCCCGTTCTGTTGAGGCTAGAGTATAAAGACAAAATCATCTTCTGTAGGTGAAAACCTACCTATTACTCTGCTAAAGAGACATAGTAATAAAATGACTCCTAGTGACATAATGGTGTACCCACCGGTAAGAGCATCACTCAGCCCACGTCAGAGACACCCCTTGCAGTAGGCAGTAATTCCCACGGAGTCCCACAAGTGACAATGGCAGAGAATGACAGACTTTGTAGAGTACCCAGTCCTAAACAGGACCAATGCGCATATGAACTCACAGAGACTGTGGCAACACAGGACCTGCACAGGTTCAGACTAGATAAAATCCCAGCACTGAGAGAGGAACGTGGACACGTGATCCACCTCTACAAAGAAACTGTCTGCACGATCCTTGCTGATAGAGAAAAACCCGTTTTCTTCAGCAGAGCGTCACTAGACAGATACAGCAACACTCTAGGAAACACCCTCCCACCACGAGTAGTCAGCAACACAAAACAAAGTCCATGTTTTGCTTTGTTGGTTGGTTGTTCTAATGGACTTTTTGTTTTATTCTGCTTTGAAATTTTGTCTTACTGGTTTTTTGTTTCTTTGACTTCTGTTTTTTATTTTTGTCTTTTACTTTAGGGAAAGAAGGAAGAACACGAGGTTGGGTAGGTGGGGAGGATCTGAGAGGTGTCAGAGGAGGAGAAAGATTATGATCAAAATATATTGTAAGAAATAAGGATATACACAAAAACACTAAATTAAAAAAAAGAATAAATCAGCAGATAGCACTTCCATATACATCTGAAGCCCGAATGGCAAGTGGGTGTGGCCTAACTGTAATCCCACCTTTCAAATGAGGAGAAAGGCGACCATGACAAGAGCCAGCATCAACAGGGATGTAGACATGGCTCTCTATATAGGCTAGCTCAGTTGGCAAAGTATTGATCTAGCATGCATGAAATTTGGGATTCCATCCTCAGCACCACAGAAAGCAAGTGTGGTGGGATACATCTGTAATCCCAGCACTCAGGAGGTGGAGGCAGGAAGAGCAGAAGCTCGGTGTCATCCTTAGCTGCGCAGCATGTCTAAGAATCACCTGGGGTCCATAAGACTGTCTAAAATATCTAAACACACACACACACATATACATACATACATACATACATACATACATACATGGGGGAGGGAGAGAGAGAGAGAGAGAGAGAGAGAGAGAGAGAGAGAGAGAATCTTTATGTGAGAACAAATTGGGACTCTTCCTGTGGACTCAGAGATCAGGACAGTGGGTGCCAATGCTCCACTTTGTTAACAGGCTTGAGGCCCATCCTCATAGAACATGTGACACAGTAGCCAAATGTCTTAGCAGACTAAAGATGCGCTACAGAGGGGAACCCTGGCAGAGAGGAAGAGTTCATAGGGCCAGGGAGGTGACCGGGTGGCTAAGAGCACTCACTGCTTTGCCAGAGGATCTGAGTCCCCACACCAGGCTTCAGGTAGCTCACAACCACCTGTAACTCCAGCATCAGAGGAGCCCCACGTCGCTGGCCTCTGCCCAAAACTGCACTCACAAAGGTTGATTACTGATGCCTGTCAGTGCTCAGAATACTCGAGGGAATGAATTATGCTTTCCTCTCGACACAAAGATGCAAATTTCTTTTCTTTTCCTTTTTAGTTTATGTATATGGTCACATATGCACACAAATGTGCGAGCATGCATTGGAGGCCAGAGGTCAATGTTGGATGTCTTCCTATGTTGCTTCATCACCTTATTTTTTTTTGAGACAGGCTCTTTCACCAAACCTGAAGCTCGTGCACCAGCTAAACTGCAGGGCAGTAAACATCAAACATCACCCTGCCTCCGCCTCCCCAGAACTGGGACTAGAAGTGAGTGCAGCCTCCCCTGGCCTATTACTGCAATTTCTAAAAGATTGTTTCTAAAGCCCTATATACAAAGTTGTTCTCTGGCCACTAAACGCATATACACACAGACAAATGCACATTCTCTCTCTCTCTCTCTCTCTCTCTCTCTCACACACACACACACACACACACACACACACACACACACAAGACTGGGCTCTACATACGACAGTTTCTAAAAAGTCAAGATAAAAACTAAAGAATTGAGAGAAGGAAGTCACGTTTTCCATATGACAGTGGCCTAGTGATATCACCTAAGTGTTCCTACAGCCCTAGCATGGAAAATGAAAACAGAGGATGGCACGTGGCCTGCTGTCTTGGTTCTAAGCTGTCTCTTGACCACTCATTTTGTAAAAGGGTGGCCCCGAGTCTCCAGAATAAGCAACCATCCAGGAAGCCTTTGGTATGACTAGGTTACTGTACTTCTTTCTCCTTCAGCAAGTGAAAAAAAGACCAGCTAAAGTTGGAGAGAGGACTACAGTGCCCAGGCTCTCCCAGACGCTTGCCCAGAACCTTCTAACAGCATGCTGGCACACAGTCAGACAGTGTCCACTCGCTTCCCGGAGCCCAAGGCTTTCATTAACAAGCAAAAAAGTGAGCTAGCTGGAGCTTCCAGTGCATCAGAGCAATGCCTGCAGATGTTTCTGACCACAGACGTAGCGCAACCTGTCCCCAACACATGTTTGCCAGACAATCCCTGGCCAGTTCCCGCACTGGGCAGTATTTGGGGGAAGAGCTGTTAGCATGATTGCCCTGAGTAACTGGCATGCTAGAACGATTCGGTGTGTGGAGTAGAGGGAGCACACTCAAACCGAGAAGGGCAAGTCCTGCTGACAGCCTCGATCTCCAGCAGCCCCGCCTCAAGCACAACTGTGAAAGCGCTAACACTGAATCCTACGCAGTCTTTCTCCTCCTCCTGTTTGTTTCATCCTCTGATAGAAAACAACCAGATTGAAGCCCGTTAATTTTAGTTATGAACAACTCAACATGGTGGTGGGAAACAACCTCGAAGAAGACTGTGTCTACGGTTTGATTCACTTAGAAACATTATCTTGTACTTACAAACAATGAAATGTGTTTTTTCATGTTAAAAAAAAAAAGACACGAATGTTACATTTGCCCAACTGGGGTAAATACAAACTAAAGAAAGCAAAACTCCATCCATGCTTAGAGCCAAAATGCTACCACCTCTGTGTGGCAGGATGCTGGTACCTCGGGTGACATTAAAGCCCACAATGGTGTCAACCTTATTTCATTTGGGAGTCAAACTGTCCCAGACACAGTTTCTCAGAATACACAACTCCTTCAAGCATGCTGTTTGCAGGGGAAAACCTGAAGGATTGTCACCTTCAAACTCTGTGAAAGCACTGGTCCAGATGAGCAAGAGTCTGGGTGCTGTCCTCTGCATAAATAAACAAGTAGAATAAATACCAAGAACAAACTCTTCAGGACACGGTAGAGCCCAAATCAGATACTGGGCTGGAGAGATGACTCAGCAGTTAAAAGTGCCTAGTGATCTTCCCAGGTTCAGTTCCCAGCACCCAGACTGGGTCGGTCACAACTACCTAAACCCAGCTCCAGCCAATCCAAAGCCCTCGTCTGGCCTCCAGTTGCATTTGTACATCACACACACACACACACACACACACACACACTCACACACACACACACACACTCACACACACACACACACTCACACAAATAAACAAATACATGCACAAATAAATAGATAAAATCTTATAAAGGAACTAAAGTACTGGGTGTCAATGTGACACAAACCTAGATATATCTGAGAAAAGAAAACCACAGCAGAGAAAATGTTTCTATTAGAATGGCCCATAGGCAAGCCTGTAAGCAAGGCATTTTCTTAATCAATGACTCATAAGGGAAGGCCAAGCCCATTTTGGGTGGTGGCACCCCTGGGCAGGTGATCCTGGGGTGTATAAGAAAGAAAGAAGGTTGAGCAAGTCATGAGAAGCAAGCCAGTAAGCACTGTTCCTCCATGGTCTCTGTTTCGGTTCCTCCTTCCTGCTGTCTGCCCTGTTTAAGTTCCGTCAGTGATAGACCCAGAAGCGTAAGACAAAATAAACCGTTTCCTCCCCAAGTTCCTTTAGGTCATGGAGTTTTAGCACATCAATAGAAACCATAACTAAGACATTGGGATTCTTTTTTATAGATGAAATGGTTTATTAACTAAGATGTCACTAAAAATCTAGGAATTCCTTTGGTCTACAGCTAATGATTTAATATCAAGCTGCTTATTTATGAGGAATGATCCAAGATCCAAGGCAAAAGGTAGAGTTGAGACACGAAAAGCCCACTTTATTGAGCTTGCAGGTAATTTGCAGACTTGAAAAGCCCCATCCAACCAGGTGCTGGAGCAGGATCACACAGCTGCCAACAGCAGCTGCACAGGCACCAGACAGCCTGGGGCAGTTCCCATGCCCACAGCATTCTACCTTTGCTGTGGAATATTTCTTTACACTGTATGAATATATGTCACTGTGACTGGGTTAATAAAGATGCTGACTGGCCAATATCTGGTTAGGCAGGACTTGCAGGCAAAAAAGGAGCAGAGAGCATGAAGAAGGGGAGGAGTCAGAGATTCATGAGGAGACAGAGAGGAGATGAACTTGCCCAGTACTGGCAAAAGGTACCGAGCCACATGGCAGAGTGCGAATAAGAAATATGGGTTACATGGGGCTGGAGAGATGGCTCAGTGGTTAAGAGCATTGCCTGCTCTTCCAAAGGTCCTGAGTTCAATTCCCAGCAACCACATGGTGGCTCACAACCATCTGTAATGAGGTTTGGTGCCCTCTTCTGGACTACAGGCATACATGCAGACAGAATATTATATACATAATAAAATAAATAAATAATTTAAAAAAAAAGAAATATGGGTTACAGCTAAGACTCCCAGCAATAGTGCAGAGGGTGTCTGAACTGGCTTTCTCCTGTAATCAGATTGGTGACTACCCTAACTGTCATCATAGAGCCTTCATCCAGCAACTGATGGAAACGGATGCAGAGATCCACAGACAAACACCAAACTGAGTTCTGGGAATCCAATCAAAGAGAGGGAGAATATATGAATGGGGGCAGGGTGTCATGGCAGGGAAATCTACAGAGACAGCTGAACCAAACTGGTGGGAACTCATGGAAACTCCTGAACTCCAGACTGACAGTTGTGGAGCCCACATGGGACTGAACTAGGCCCTCTACATGTGGGTGACCGTTGTGTAGTCTAGTCTCTTTGAGGGGCTCCTGGCAGTGGGACCAGGACCTATCCCTACTGTATGCGCTGGTTTTGTGGAGCCCATTCCCTATGGTGGGATGCCTTGCTCAGCCCTGATGTAGGGAGGAAGGGTTTGGTCCTGCCTCAATGTGCCAGGCTTTGTTGACTACCCATGAGAGGCCTTAGCCTTTCTGAGAAGTGGATGAAAGGTGGGTTGAGGGAAGGCAGGGTCAGGGGTGGAGCAGGAGGAGCGCTGGGAGGGGAAACTATGGTTGAAAGAAATAGCAATAACAAATAAAAGAAAGAAATACGAGTTAATTTAAAATATAAGAGTAAACTAGTAATAAACCTAAGCTATTGGCCAACTATTTATAGTTAATAATAAGTTTCTGTGTGGTTATTTGGGAACTGGCTGACAGGAAAGAAAAGTCCACCTACTCAGAGACTCATTTAGGCCAGGCTGGCCTTAAGCTCACTATGTACCTTGCATTTATGATCCTCCTGCCTCCACCTCCTTTGTTGTCAGAACACAATCCAGCATTGGAGTTATGTGAGGAGAATTCTGAGTGCTTACAAGAAAACAAGACAAGACTCTCATAGCCTCAGCTTCTTCAAAGCACGGAATTGTTCTTAAAATGTTTTCCTGTTCCTCCCAGGCACAGCGGGTGGGAGTGAGTCGACTTCAGATTACTCATTGCTGCTTGCTGTTGTTATTCAACTAAATGTCTGAATGATCCTTTATATGCCTCTATGGAAAAAATTTTTTGCGTCTTTGTGATTGTACACAGCTCGAACTCATGAGAACTTTACTCTTGTGATTTCTCTTAGCCCTCAGAGTATAAATTGTCTGATGCTCTGAATAAAGGTGGCTGTGGCCTCATCGACTCCATTCTCCCAGGTCCTCTAGAACAACGACACTTAGTGATGGGATTACAACCTTGCTCCACCAACCATCAACCTACGCCGGGCTTCGTGCATGTCAGCCAACACTCTACCAATTTAACACCCCAAACCCTTTAGGATTCTTTCTTCCAGACCACCACGTCCTGGTTCTACACAGCAGGGAAGTGTTTTCTAAGTCATCTAGACCAAAGGTCACAAATCCAAATGCCAGGAGCACTAAATGGGTCACAAGTCACAGAGATTGGTGTCAGCTGGGAATCGTGACCTTCCTTGTACTAGAGGGCTGCCAGTAGCCTCTAGCTGCCATTAAGGGGCTAGGGATTATACATCATGGATGAAACAAGAAAACACACTCAGCTTAATTTGGCCTGAGTGAGGCCAGTCATACCTCAGTCAGAGCAGGGGTTCCCACCTGCCTGCCTGGCTAATAACAGCAACTGTATCTGATGTGGAAGCTCAGAAGGGGCTATAGCCTCTTGTTTGTGAGATGAATAAATATTGTACTCTGGTCAACCTAAGCTATTTCTTCATCAGTGGCCAAGGACATCATGATAGCAGCAAAACTCACTTTTATTTCCAGACACTGTTCACCTGAAGAGTTTACATCCCCTCAAATAAGGAGATTCTAAAAGCACAATAATGGTCATAAATGCACACAGATTTTACCATCATTAGGACACAGCTGAAAACACCCCAGCTGAAGCCATCTGAAGAGTGTGGCTTGGTGATCTGCCTGCAGTTGCACAGCCCTGCAGGACCAGGCTCCTCGGCTTCACCAGTCAAGGTGGCAACTGCCCCCACAGAGTTCTCAAGACCCAACACAGACTAAACAGCATTCCAGAATAATGAGCTCAAAATGCAAGTTTGTTTTCATCAACCATCACTCCTTCCAGGTTTCATGGAAGCTAAAGAGAGATGTCTGGCGATCCCATAGCACAAACCCATCCCCCGTGTGTCCCCAGTGAGAATCCCCGTGTGTCTCCAGTGAGGATCCCCCATGTCCTGGAGGATTTGCAGCCCTTACCTTGCAATGCTGGGTAACAAGACAACCTGAGAAGGTGAGCTCTGCCGATCCCACCCTCCTCGCCTCTCCTGGGCTCTCTAGGCGAAGCATCTACTTCCTCCCTACCCCCTTCCCAGCATACTTCCCTCTCTCCATCCAGACACCTCTGAGGATACACTGCCCTTCACGTCCTCCTTCCCTCCTTTGCCCACTCCCACCAGCAGCTAACTCCACATGACCCACAAGGAACTCACTTTCCACGCCTGCTCTTAAATTACCATACTAGCTAAGGATAACTGACCTAACTGGGGAGCATAGAGGTCAAACACTTGAGACCCAGCATGGAACAGGCTTGAGCACCACAGTGTACAAGAGAACATGGGGTAGTCAAAAGAGACAATTCTGAGGGAAATGAAACTCTTTGGTAGAGCTGTCTGTAGATAGGACGGAGTTATAGGGATGCTGCTTCCCTGAGTCATTGCCCATGCTGGGGTTGGCTGCCTTTCTTTGGGGAACCTACACTCCTATCAGTCATCCCTCATCCGTGTTCATCCAAGTACTCCCCAAGAAACTCATTGGCTCCCCAAACCAGATTTAGGTTAACTGTTACTGTGGCCTGTTTCATGTAGCCTACATACAGGAAGTACATGCTGTTTGTATCTCTGAAGAAAAAGTTACACAATGCTGGCCTACACAGGGAGACTCTTTCTAGAAAGAAGAAAAGGGAGCAGGAAGGGGGTGGGGAGGAGGAGTTGGAGACATGGCAGGAGAGAGACAAGGGGACGTAGCAAAAACATCTGGAGTTTAAGGTAAACACTGAGAGGCCCAGACTGGATACGGAGAAGGTAGTTTTTAAGCTGCATGCCTCCCATCCCAGATCTGCCTTAGGAAAACTATGAGTGAGGACACACATGTCACCAATGTTGAGACCCCAGCCCATGGTAACTGACATTGCTGTCTTTTCCTTACCTTGTTTTTAAAGAACACAGGGGCAAGACCCCACTCACAGCTACCCTCACAGTTCCCAGAATTGACAACAGCCTTTTGCCAACACAGTAAACTCCCACTGCTGACCAAAGTTCACCCACGTACATGGCCACATGGCACACGGGGACACATACCTTGTGTTCCTCCTTCATCACTTGTTCAATGAGCTCAGACTTCACTGGAGGCTTTGAGTACTGGCCAGAGAGGAGGCCGTGCCCCAATTTAGTCCTAGACAGGAGAGAGACAAACAATGAAGAGGACACTGCTGTTTCCCACAGAGATGGAAAGGTCACCCATGAGTCCTTGTGTGGCAGGGAATTGTTCTCTGTCCGGACTCCTCACAGACAGCTTGGCTTTTGCCTCTGCTTAGCTTTGACACTACTCTCCAAGTAAATTTCCTCAGTAATTTTAACTTTACTAATCTCTTCTATAAAGGCAACACACACCCATTCTAGAACACTTAAAAATACAGGAAATAAAGAAGAAAAAGGAATTGCCTTCAACTCAGCAGCAGCCAATGTGAACACCCCGCCAGAAACTTAAAACACAACACTGGGCACTTACATCTGTGTGTTGAAGTCCTGTGTTGGATCTAACGGCGAGTAGTCGAATATCCTTGGGAGGTTTCCCACATACCTAGGAGACAACAGGACAGTCACCACGGAAATGGGACAAACAGAAGCAAGCTGTCGCTCTACAGACACTCAGCCAAGGAAAGGTTCCTCCCTCCACAGCAGACCAAATCCAGGATGGGTTTCCTGTCCCTAGAGGCTCTGTGAAGTGGCACCCCTCAGATGTGCCCGTCTCCCCACCTGAGACACAAGCTTAAGATTCCGAATCTCCTCAACAGCCCCCCCACATCATTCTGACATGTCGGAAACCATGGCACCATAATCACTGCCTCAAAATAAAACGGCCTCCAGCAAATGGGGAGGTTAAGGCAAGAGGGTTCCGAGTCCAAAGACAGCCTGCTTGTGCTACACGGTAAGACACTGACCCACACACAACAGGTGAGGTTGCTGACAGCCTTCTCCAGCCAAAGTGAAGATCAGTACCCAAACGCTACACCCAGCTCAGCTGTGGGCTTCCCTCCCAGTCTTTCCTTCTCTAAAGTTTTTTGTTTGTTTTGTTTGTTTGTTTGTTGGGTTTTTTTGCCAGTGAACTTTGCTCTATCACTTTATTGGAAGTCCCCATCCTCCATAACAGCCCATTATGGGCTAACATCAACAATAATCTGATTGTAAGATTTGGCCAGAAAGCCTATATCTTTTTATTTCCTCACAATGATGTTCTTCCCTCAAGCCTGCCCATGCTTGCTGGTTAGAAATCTCTATTTGTCCTTATTGAAGTCATGACTAAGTCCTTCACCATGTTTCCCATGGCCCATCTGATACCATCTTAGCAGGTATTTATATAACATTCTCCTTTACTGTTAGGAATTGAGCCAGTAACTTCAAAATTACTGTAACAGCAGTGACAGCTACCCTAACTACATTTCTTGAGGTAAAGCTCTCTAGAGAAAGGACTTCTGTGAGGTTGAGAAATTCTTCACTGCATCCCTGTGACCCAGGGGTTCATAACTGCCATTATCCCATGAGAGAGATAAGAACTTGGGGTGTGGCTTTACTAGGTAGCACCCATGTCACCCAGGAGTGGGTGATGGGGGCCAGAATGTATACACATATGTGTGCTCACACACGCGCACAAAGCCTGGCTCCAAAGCTGATTTCTGAGATTCTGGGGTATGTCACTGCTTGGCCATTCTCATTCTCTCTCTCTCTCTCTCTCTCTCTCTCTCTCTCTCTCTCTCCCTGGAGGCCACAATCCTGACAAAACAGTACTAGCCTTAACCCTGACATTAAGGTTAACATGTAGTCGCTCCCTCCACCCCCCAAGTCATTTTCCAGTCAACCACATGCTTTATGTTGTTGATTTGTTGTGAATTATTTGAGACGGGGTATGACTATAGCCCAGGCTAGCCTCTATCTTCATGACGTTTACCCTTGCCCACTTTCTGATCTCATTTGAAGCTCTGTCCCCGTGTCCATGATGCTCTCTGGCTATTCACCACTCTCACCCCTGCTTCAAGACCAGGCCATCTGTTGTTTCTTTTCCTCGGATCTGTTGAAAGCCCCTTGGCAGACTGGGCAAAAGGAAGGATGGCAGCCTACCCTCCCAGCTCCCTGCTGACTGCTTAGCCTCTCAACCTCCATCACTAGCTGGAATTACAGAGTTTACCTATATTCTTTGTTATTATCTGTGGCTCCAGATTCTGTACGAAAATGCAGTCTGTGAGAAGCCAGAGCCTCTAGGCAGCACCTACAGTAAGGGTGTCTGAAAAGGAGAATCATTTATTCACATCTACTAACTGGACAGACTCACGTCATCTGTTAACTTAAGGCACCAGGAAAAAAGAAGAGCCGTACCTGTGTTAAACATTCTACAGGCAAATGACTGAACTTGACAGTTATGGACAGTTAAAATGCAGCAGGCCAAAGCCAAACTATCTTAAGCTACTTTTAGTCCCTTTGAAAGTCATTCCTTACCCACCCACATAATGTGTCTAACCTAACGTACTAGAACTATTAAGCCCTTTAAAATTTATTCTTAGCAAACTACTAGTTTCTACAAATCCAAAGCTAAAAATGTCATCAGACAGTATCTATACCTATGGCGAAGCTTCGTCTCCTTTGCTCAGACATGTCTGCCTGTGGTTCTCAATAATGCATCTGGTAAATACTCTGATTTATGACCTTCTTTATTCTGTAACCAAAGCTACAAAGTGGCCAATCCACAGTGAGCACGTCTGTTTATGCATGGCACTCACGTTTGACTCAAGCATAAGCTATCTCTATTCCTTTTGAGAACTGCATTACACACTGTAGTCTCAAAAATGACTACAAACAACCAAACAGGAAATGCACTGAAACACTTAAATGCCTGTCCCCAAAGGCCACGTGTCATTAAAGGCTGGTTCTCCAGCTTGTGGCATTACTGGGATGTGGTAGCACCTTTAAGAGGTGGGTCTTAGTGGGAAGAAGTTAGTCACGGGGAAGTCCCTTCAGGAGACAGTGGGACCTCTCCACACCACACAAAACACTCAGGAAATGAATGAGTCTCCTCCACCACACATTACTGTCACCATGGACTATGCCACCAAAGGCCCAATGTAATGGTGCCAACTGGTCAAGAACAGAAAGAGGTTTAAACATTATATTCAAAATCCAAGCATGAGTTAAATGTTTGTTGAAGAAAAAGTGTAAGGTTATTTGTCAAATTTCACAAGATAGAAAAAAATTCCTAGATAATAAAGCACTAAAAATGCTGAAATATGAAAGAGCACAAGTTTCTTCTATTATAGTTTAAAATAAGTAATACTTATATGCCACTTTTCAGAAGGGCATTTGTAGTACAAATAATAAAAACCCAGAGACAGATATTAGGGTTCAAGCTGAATATCAGAAAAGCAAAGCAGACACGGCCCACTAGAGAGTTCTTACCGCTACCAAGGCTCAGACAAACCAAGGGGCAATCCTGTCCTCAGTGACTGTGCACTGCAGTGCTCTCCACCAAACCCCAGACAGCCCCGCTGTTGTCTTCTCGCGCCTTCTATATGTCTCTCTGCCCAGATGCATCACTCCTGTCTCCACCTCCCTAGTGCTGGGATTAAGGGTGTGCAACTCCTAAGTGCTAGAAACATCTTTATGTGAGTTCTGTTTCTCTTTATAGAGAAATTCAATCTTGTGTAGACCATAGTGGCCTTGAGTCCTGGGATTAAAGGAGTGTGCCACCACTCCCTGGCTTCTAGTGGCTTAGCTCTGTACTCTGATCTTCAGACAAGCTTTAATTGTTAAAACATAAACAAAATATCACTACAGGCATTTCACGAGCACTTCAAAAAGAAACCTTGGAGTATACATCAGGTAAGACAAACAGATTAACCCATACTCAAGAGATGACAAAAGATAGAAACATGGGTAAGAATTTATAAAAAATAATAGGATTCATGGTACATGCCTCTGAAAAAGTTCCCCAAGCTAGAACTTCAAACTTTCTGCCCCTCTCTCCCATCCCTCATATTCATCTGTCAGTGGGGTGTGTATCTCCTCTGACCTTCTTCCCTTCCCCTTCCTGGGATAGAACACCTTCATAACTATGTTGATGCTCATCTACCAAATGTCTTTGAGTGTTCCCTCAGGCCAGATATCAGACCCAAGTTTTCTCTCTCTCTCTCTCTCTCTCTCTCTCTCTCTCTCTCTCTCTCACACACACACACACACACACACACACACACACACACAAACATAACACAGCTAGTTCTTTACTGAAGAGTGGAAAAGTGCATGTGGAAAATTGACAATATATTTTCAAAGGCAGAAAACAGCAATGAATGGCTAAGTGCTGAGTTCTGAGAGGAAAGACTCTCCAAGCTGACGAACACTTAGTGAAGCACTGTGTAACCAGTAGGGTTTCAGCTCCATGTGGAAAAGATACCACCGTGTGCTGCTCCCAGCATGCTCTCTGCTATTCAGTCTATCTCGACATGAATGTCCTCTTCCATACTTAACCCAGTGTGGAAACCTACTCACTCCAGAATCCTGAGCTGCAGGGCTTCTTGTCCTGAGCACAGCCCAATGCAGAAAACACCTACAGACACAGCAACTTGTGTGGGGAGGCACAAGGGAAAGAGGCCAGCAGAATTAGGAAGCACCCTAATTTGGTATGCCCAGAATGTCTACCTAAAGAGTCAAAGTTTCCAACTCAGGATAGAGGATAGCTATCATAAAAATAATTAATGGAACATATGCAATGCCACATATTAAATGTGGTGCTATCAAATCACTACACCAGTCTCTAGGAGCTTGATCGAGTCCCACCCTTTTCTGATGGCAGACCCACACCTAGTAGCCCAGGATTCCCGGGAACCACACTCCCAGTAACAAAAAATAATAACCTAAAATTCTCCACAAAATTCCCCTCTGGAGAACAGATGTCCCTAGCCCTCTACTGGCCCACCTAGAGAAATGATCAGGCAGGTGTCCTATGAAGATGGATGGCTGACATATTCTCAGCACAGGTATGGTCTGAGAGCCACGACGGCTGATTGTGAGGTGTTGCTCAATCTCCAAGCGCTCCTCATCTCAGCCCATCCTGTGATACTGGATGAGAGCTCTCATTGGGCCTCAGGATGAGAAGTCACACTCCTACCGTGACAGCAGAATCCTCAGGGCAAGAGCAATGGGTTTCCAAGAGCACAGAATGGACCAGCCCAGGGAGACTGGCAGCACAGTGGCCCATCAGCAGTGGGGCCACACTTACGCTCTCTGGAACTCTGGGATGCTGAAGATGGCCTGCATGACAGAACTGAGGTAGCAACTGTTGCCCAGGTTCTTCAGGCCCGTGTACCCTGGTCCATACATGGGCTTCAGCTTAGTCCCTGACTCTTGGATCACTTCCCACTCGCTGACTCTTGGCTTGATGTCATTGTCCCGGAGTCCATTCTCTGTCTGAGACATCATGAAAGAGAGAGGAAAGTAAAGGGCTTTAAACGGGTTCACGATCAAAACTTATGTCCATGAATTACTTCTAATGCAAATGGTTATTTCTGCCATTTTCCTCTTAAATTATATGGGAGACATAAACAATCTACTTAAAAATATTAAGAGGCAATGATGATTACATGCGGGGGCCCGTAGACGTGGACCATTCCACCTCGACTAAAGGTCAGCAGAGTTTAAGCCCAGTCTTGCTCCTTCGAGGTTATTGACGGGAGATTTAACTTAAAAGTGTGGCTACTAACAGAATATCTTGACCTAGGGTGTGGTTATTTGGTGCTTTGGGTATGAAGATGGTAATCACTTTGTTTATTTCTTGTATCATTAAAAAAAAAAAAGTCTTTTGCTTTCTTCCCCATTTTTGGACCGGGGTATTTAAAGATCATTAGAAATAAACACGGGTGGATTCAGCATTCACTGGGTTGCAATCCCGGTACTATCCTGTGTCTCCGTGTTTCTTTTGTATCTCTGTTTTCTCTGACTAACATTTCTAACCCACACGCCCCTAACCTGGAACATACGAACCTGTTGAGGCTGGACCCCGACAGATGTCCCCCCAATGGGTGGCTACTACAGATGGCGCCCAGATGTGTGGCCCAGATGTGTATAAGGGAGAGCATGTTGGACACCACAGGTGTAGAAGTAAAAGATGAGCACTCAAATAAGTTTAAGGTAAAAAGGCAATGATATCTATCAGGGGTAAAATTGTAGATAACTAGCAACGGGACAAGGAAATAGTATTCAGCTGTCTGCATATTTTCTTGGGTATATTTTGAAAGCTTGGAGAACTGGGATAGTGCAGAAACAAGGACAGCAATCTTAAGAATCCGTAGATTTTGTAAATCTTCCTCCCCTACAATAGTGGCACAGTCGCCACCATTTTCAGACCGTTCTTGTGTTCGGAGAAGTAAAAGTGGTGTGCCCAGCCCACACTGCAGCTGACTTTGCAAGCAGCCGCTGTCACCACTAGCCCAGAAGACACCTGAGGGCCAAGATCCCCAGTTCCTGGCAGGACGGCCATGCTCAGAACGCAGCTAGCTGCTCCAGCCTAGCAGACAGCTGTGGGCCACAGCCTCAGGGAATCGAGTGTATGAGAATGCTAAAGCAATAAGTAAAGCCGCCTTTTAGAAAGAAAGATGAAATCTCTGATTATATTCAGATGTGTTCAGATACTGGTTATACACACTGCTTTACAGGAAAGGACAGTTGAAGATGTTCGTAAATCTCTCCGGACAAAGCAATCAAGGCCCTGAGAGAAGAAGGGACTCAAGGACTCCAGGAAGCTGCTTCAGGTGGGGTCTTCCAGGACTTCAAGCAGTATCCTGATAGGAGAGTAAGCCCAGGGGTGAGGAAGGAACTGGGATTACGCTGAAGATGCAGGACAAGAAAACATTAGACTAACAAATGCAGATCTAAGAAAGAAGTCCAAGGGAATCCTCTCCTTATGAGCAGAAGGGCCTGCCTCCAGCCTGAGACAAATCTATGGGGTGATCCAGCAGTCTGTTCTCCTGCAAAGAAATCCATTCAGGATGAATGCAGAGCAACCCCAGGCAGTGCAGGGCTCAAAATCAGCTCTTCCATTTATACCATTTTAACTCCTACAATGTAGGATTGTTACTGGGGAGAAGTAGCACCACTATGCAAGGGATTCTTGTTGCTCCTGGAGTCATTAACGCTGATTTTGAAGGAGAAATCAAGGTTATGACTCACTCACCTAATGGAATTTCTGTGGTAAACAAAGGCAAGAGACTTGAACAATTAATTTCACTTCCTAAATGCAAACTAGAAATTGAGTTAAGGGAAGTAAGAGAAGAGATTCTGGATTTGGTTCATCTGATGCCCATTGGCTACAAGCCACAGGTCCACAGCAACCAGAACTCGCTTGGCTTATAAATGGAAAAAGCTTTTCTGTTCTTCTGGATACTGATGTGGATATTTCTGTTATAACTGCCAGTCAATGGGCTTCGAGGTGGCCTAAAACGGTGACTATTGCACAGTTACAAGGGATTGGTCAAACTCAAAATCCTGAACAAAGCAGCAATGAGCCTTCCTGGAGAGATGGAGACAGTCATGAAGGAACTTTCCGGCCACACATTGTTCCTCACTTACTGCAGATTTGTGGGGCATTACGACCCGAATGGGAGTATATTTATATTCCCCCAACACAGTTATTGCTAATCAAATGTTCCAGAAACGGTTATTGCCCAACCAAGGGCAGGGCAAGGATTGAGCCTATCACACCTAGCAGAGGCCTCCCAGGGCAGGATTAGGGTATTCCAGAAGAGGTCACTAAAAGCCTGCACTCCATGCAGACCCAATTGTCTGGAAAAGTGACAAGCCTGCATGGGTAAATCAGCGAAATTACAAGCTGCCCAGCGGTTAGTGCAGGAACAGTTGGATAATGGTCACATTATGCCCTCCAATTCCCCCTGGGATTTTCCTATTTTTGTAATTAAAATGAAATCAGGAAAATGGAGGTTGATACAAGATTTAAGAGAGGTTAATGAGACCATGCAGCCACTGGGAGCTTCACAGCCTAGGTTGCCTTCTCCTACAGCTATACCAAATGACACCTATAAGATTATTTTAGATTTAAAGTACTGCTTTTATACCATCCTTCTGGTACCCGAAGACCGTCAAAGATTTGCATTCCATCAGTTAATTTCAAGGAGCCAATGAGAAGATATCATTGCAGCATCTTGCCTCAAGGTATGGCAAACAGTGCTACGCTATGCCAGAAAATTGTGACTCGGCCTATACAAAATGTCAGAGATCAATTTCCACAAGTTTATATCATCCAATATATGGCTGATATCCTGCTTGCCCATAAAGAGGAAGGAGTTTTGCATGAGACACACAGACAGCTTCAGCAGAGTCTTTCCCACACAGTTACTGTCCCAGAGGAAGTCCAGAAACACCACCTTTTTGGTATTTAGGTTATATGTTATATCATAAAGAAATTAAACATCAGAAATTGGAAATTAGGAAGGAAAGCTTATAGCCTCTGAATGATTTTCAAAGATTATTAGGAAATATTCAGTGGTTGAGACCTTATTTAAAATTCCCTATGGGAGATCTTGAACCACTAAGTAAAATTCTTAAGGGGAGCAGTGTGACCCTAATTCTACCAGACACGTTACGCTAGACAGGTATGGTGCAGGTGGGATATGCAATACAGAAACAGCAGGAACATTGTATTAATTATGATTATGATTATATTAATTGGCAAACATGTATATTATCTACAAAACGTACTCCCACAGCAGTATTATGGCAAAAATTGTACTCTTTTATGGATTCACCATCCCGTTTCACCGGTCACGGTATGTAACCCTTATTTTGAAACAGTAGCTTGTTTAGTACAGAAAAGCCAGATGAAATCTAGACGATAATATTTTGGTATGGAACCTAATGTGATCAATGCTCCTTACACTAAGTAACAGATTGATTGGCTATTTCAAAATAATGCTTCTTGGACAATTACATTTGCTCAATTTGTAGGCTAAATTGACAATCTTTTCCCAGCTGATCGATTGCTGCAATTCACATAACTACATTTCTCTATTTTCCAAAAAAAAAAAAATTGCATTGAACAATCCCTTAAAGGACGCTATGTTAATTTTACAGATGGGTCTTGCATGGAAGAGCAGCATATGTTGTTGATGGTAAGGGATATGTAGTGCAGACAGATCCAGCCTCAGCTCACATAGTCAAGCTGTGAGATGTTGCTGTAGTATTACAGCTTTCTGCAGATAAGGAATTGAACTTTTATACTGACAGTCAGTACATTTTTAAAGCTCTTCAGATAATAGAAACAGTTTCAGGGATTAGGACGTGTAATAATCAGGTTAAGATGCTATTCCAGCAAATCCAAGATGTCACCATGTAAGAGCACATTCAAATCTTCCTGGTCCATTGTCTGAGGTAATGCTTTAGTTGAGAAATCTACTCAGGTGATCGTTTTATCTCAGGTTGAACTTGCTTAGCAATCGCATGCTATACATCATCAAAATAAAGTTTAAGAAATCAATTTGGATTAACAAGAGAAATTGCTCACCAGATTGTTAATATGATATCTGCCAACAATACTTACCTATACCTCATCTGGGAGTAAATCCTCAAGGCTTGCTTCCTAATCATTTGTGGCAAATGGATATTACTCATATTGCAGAATTTGGCAAATTAAGATATGTGCATGTGATAATTGATACACATTCAGGTTTCTTAACAGTCTCTGCAGAGGCTGAAGAAGCCACTAAGCATGTAATAACTCGTTGCTTAAAGTGTTTTTCATATATGGAAATTCCTAAAATTGTAAAGACAGATAATGGGTCTGGGTATTTTAGTAAAGCATGTCAGCAATTTTGTTCCCAATGGGATTTTGAACACAAAACAGGTATTCCTTATAATCCTCAAGGACAAGGAATTGTGGAGCATGCCCATGGCTCCTTGAAAACACTTCTAAAGATAAAAACAGGCAAATTATACCCTCAGTGGCCACATAATGCCTTCAACCATGGCTTTTTACTCTAACGTCTTGAACGGGGATACACATGAGCGGTCTGCTGCAGATAGATTTTGCCATGATGGCACCAGAGTGACTGTCACTAAAACAAAATGGAAAGACCCTTGCGGTGGATTATGGAAAGGACCCGACCCTGTTTCATTATGGGGTGGAAGGCATGTCTGTGTTTTTTTCCACAGGAGGAGAATAAAGTATGATGGCTTTCTGAATATCTGGTCCAGTGTGTGCATCAGAAGGGTGCCGGCTCTGATGACATCATAGCCACTGGTGCTCCCACAGAAGAGGCTGAGTGAGATTGCTGAACCTGCCTTCCTGCCCTCCTAATGTCACACTGCAGTCTGAGAAAGAAAGGGAGATCATGGTGATAGCTGGCAATTCCTAGCTTCTTGGAGGATCTACTACACAAACTTCCAGACCTTAATGAATCCTATTGATTTTGTAGCCAGCCCAAGAATGTTGACCTAGGGTGTGGTTATTTGGTGTTTGGAGTATTAAGATGGCAATCACTTTGTTTGTTCTTTGTATTATGCTAAAAAAAAAAAGTCTTTTGCTTTCTTCCCTGTTTTTGGATTGGGGTATTTAAAGATCATAAGAAATACATACAGGTAAATTCAGCATCCACTGGGTTGCCTGTCTAGTACTAACCTGTGTCTCTATATTTCTTTTGTATCTCTGTTTATTCTGCCTAACATTTCTAACCCAAACGCCCCTACCTTGCAAAGTATGAGCCCATCAAGGCTGGACCCCAACAGCTGTCTCTTCAGCATGTGGCTAATACAATTATATAAGAATATAAATGTACTTAATGCCACAAAACAGTATACTTAAAATTATCTAAAAGGATATATATATATATATATATATATATATATATATCCAAAAATTTTTTGAACCATGAAAAAGTTTTGGGTTTTGGGTTTTGGTTTTCTTGATTTGGTTTGGTTTGATTTGATCTATTTTGGTTTGGTTTGGTTTGTTTGTCCATGAAAGAGAAAGAACAAGAAGGAAAGAGACAAGAGGCATATGAAAAAGAGAAGCCAACACATGAAGGATGCAGCTCAAACATTGCACAGCATGAATGAAGTCCTGGGTTCCATCCCCAGCACTGTGGCAGAATATTATTTTAAGATGTATTACATATTTATGCTGTGGAACACTTGTTTAATGATGCAAAATGTGTTGCATTCTTTTATGTTGCATTTGTTTAACTCTGTGAAGTTGTGTTACTTTGTCTATCTGAGACACTATATTGGTCTAAGAAAGAGCTGAACAGCCAATAGCAAGGAGGGAGAAAGGATAGGCAGTACTGGCAGGGAGAGAGAATAAACAGGAGGAGAAGTCTGAGGAGAGGGGATGAAAGAGCAAGAAAAGAAGAGGCCAGCCACCCAGTCACACAGCCAGACAAACAGTAAGAAGTAAAGAAAATATATACAAAAATAGAGAAAGATAAAATCCCAGAAGCAAAAGATAAACAGGATCATTTAAGTTAAGAAAATCTGGCTAGAAATATGCCAAGCTAAGGCTGAGTATTCTTAAGAAAGAAAAAGACTCCATGCAAGTATTTATTTGGTAGCTGGGTGGCGGGTCTCCCAAAAAAAAAAAAAAAAAAAAAAAAAAAAAAAAAAAAAAAAAAAAAGCTAAAAGAGTAAAGAATAAATAAAACAACCAACTACACAGCACCACATAGCCTGGGCATGGTGCACACTTGTAATCCCCAAACTCCCAAGGTGAGGCTGGAAGATCAGAAGTTCAAGGACATTTTCAGCTATATAGCCCAGGCTGCATGAGATGCTCCTGTAAACCAAAAGCAAACAAACAAACAAACCCCAGGTAGCAAGATAAGGGAACAACATGGGACCTACAGTAAACAAAAAGGCAAGAAAGGGAGAGAGAAAGGTGAAACGAACCCAATGAGGCTTCCAAGCACCTGAGAAAGGAAGGAAATGAAAGGGTAAGTGAAAAGACAGGTACGAAAGAGAAAGAGCCAAGCATCATGAGAGCATACAAACAGAGTGCTGGCCTGGGAGAGAGAAAATACAGTCTCACACTGAAACATACCTCACAGGCAAAACTAACCCATCACCAAGTCGAATCAAGCAGTGAAGCAAAGCTTCAACCATTTTACGCCAGCCACTACCCAGCAGCCCTCATTCCCTTTGGGAAAATAATTAAAGTGATGTAAGTCACGTATTATTTTAAAGGTCATTATCTAGTACTTTCTCTCTTTAGTGAAAAATAAAGAAGGATTTATGCATCTAAAACAAAATAATTGTGAGTAAACCCCCAAATAACCCATAACATGATAAACAACAAAATTCTAAGTTGGTAACCCAAATAAAATGCTAATCAACTAAATTTAGCAAACTACTGCAACAAATAAAACTAAATCTACAGAGATGCACATTAGTAGAATTCTATATTAAATAAATTAAAGATGCCCCCCCCGCCCACCACAGACACAGCGTAGAATTATAGACAAAAGATGTTCTCACCCCATTCGTATGAAGCATGTCAATCCCGAAGTGTGCTAAGTGTTTGGCCAAATGAGGATCCAAAACAGGTCCCTCTTCTTGAAAAGAATAAACATCTGGAGGGCAAAGAGAAAACAGAACTCAGGTCTGTACATGACGTCCATGCAACACCACAGAAGGACTGGGTGCACCGAAGAGCAGACCACAAGAAACAGACATAATAAATACACACACCTTACAAACACAATCAGTTCCTTAGGAAGTCTCAGAGACTTAAGGGAAAAAGCAAAGTGGGGGTAAAACAGCTGAAGGTAAGATAGCATAAAATGAGATGAATATGAATACCTCACCTTTGGGCTTTGCAACTAATACCCACCCATAAGGGCATAATTCTAAGGTTGGGAAGCAGAGAGAAAGGGGGTGGAGGAGACAGTGACAGCCATCTGCCAGGGCAGAAGACCCATGGAGTAGACCGGGGGTATCAAGGCCCCAAGGTGCAGCTGGACGGTGAGAAATGGTCATACACTCTTATGTTTTGGGCCCTGTGCCTCTCCTTTCCCTTCGCTCTCCTCCTCTGCCATAGTGTCTATGATCCACAGAACTAGGGTGAGATGGAAGCGAGAATGCCCGCCATGCAGCTTCCCAAGACGCACTCACCCAACAGCCCACATGCTCACCCTGTGACTCACACCAGAACTGAGGTGGGCAACATGATCAACCCATTGCCTCTGACACTACCGAAGTAAAGGATGTGCTCACTCATGGTGTGTGCTCCAGACTGAAGAGATGTGCTCACTCTGAGACCTAGGACCTGGGAATGGGCACCTGCTGATCCAAAGGCCCCACACCTATTCTGAGGAGGCATGTGACTGAGGAAGTCTCAAATACTATTCCCCTGTGGCACCTTGGTGCTGGAGGGCAATGTCTAGCCTTGGGATATTAATATCCCATTATGTTAGTTAATATTAATATAATGCTTTGGGTGAAGTTGCATCAAATGCACAGGCCCTAGACCAGGAGTCTGGGCCTCCTTGGAGATGAAGACTCTGGGCCCCACCCCAGACTTACCCAATCAGATTTCGTGTTATCAATAAAAGCCCAGAGACACAAAGTTTCAGAAACACTATCGAGCCCTGTGTCCTGAGAGAGTGAAGAAAGGAAGAAGAGGGATACCCATTTCCTGTTTCTCATGGAGAGCCTAATGAAGGCTAAAGGATTTTGCCCTCACACTTCACATGTGGCCTAGTGTCTCCGTCCTGCCCCATCCCCTTCCTTCTATCTCAGTATATCCAAGATATCTCAGGATATGGATGGTGAAGTGCAATCCGGGCACATTCTAGGAACAGAGACCACAAACCACAGTCTCTTTCCTCCTAAATTTGGAAAATATAACGTTATAAGAAAAAACAGATACAAAGACATCATTCTTTACCGCAGTCTCTTCCGTACTGCCTGAGTTTTCTACTCTTGGGACACAGTGGCGGATCGACAGAGGGATACTATGTAGACGCCATAATGCTGGGGTGATCCTCTGACCTCCATCAAGGTAAGTGCCAGCAAAGGAAGTTGGCTTTCCTGCCACAGATAGACTGCTCGTTGTAGAGATTTCTCTCCTACACTTTATATTATGGTAGCAGCCTTCGCTGGAGCCTGCTTTACTATCATTCAAGTGTTCCCAAAAGCAAAACCAAAAAAATGAAATCCCCAACTCAATGAAGGCAGTTTTCAGAGACTAGGGGCCTATGGATCCTGAGATGCAACAGAGACTGCCCCTGTGTGAAAGGCAAAAGGTTCACCTAGGAAGACTTGATCACAAAGACGGAAGTAGAGGAAGAGTGTTAAAGACCCACGAAGGAAGCGAAGGGTTCTAGAAAAGAGGTAAAAACAACAAGTTCCAAAAGGCTAACGTTTTTAAATGCTTTCTCAACTAACAATTTAAAGCAAACATTAATATTTTTAAGCAGTGAGTGAAAAGAGATAGAGAAATACCAAACACTTGCAGAATGTGAGAATGAGCCCTACGGAACCTCTGCTCTGCTCTCTTCAATAGCGAGACAGTTTGGAAGGCTTAAGTCATAGCCATTAGAAGATAAGGACACTCCTAGATTCGCTCCCCAGTGACAATGCCTGGGACCCTGAAATAAGCAGAAATCACACTGCCCCCAACTGTTCTTCACCTACTATGTTTTCTCACATTAAGAAAATACCATTTCCTACCTTAGGTGACTAAATGTCCAAAGATGCCACATGATTTGATCAAACATGATAGTCGTTTCTTATGCCAATAACAAAAACAACTTAGGGAGTTCAATAGCGGAAACTGAAAATGAACTTGCTCCTCCTGTGGCAATGACAAGGAGTTACAGAAGCGGCACACAGTGCGTTCAGATGTGGGTGCTGCCTTCTGCGTTTTCATTGGAAAACTCACGTAATCTCCCAGTTCAGCTAGCAAAACTATCTTGGAACTATCAAGAACTATCATAGCAAATAAGTATGGCTGATCAGGATGCTTCCACACACCCTGCCACGGCCTAGAACTTGATCCAGAAGCCACAGGGATAAAATCCAGGGAGAGGCGCCTGGAACAGTCGAGACAGCACCCAATATCAGCTGGCTGGAGACTCTCCGGGTTCCAGTTCAATGATGATAAACCAACGAGCCAGAGGTTTCAATCCATGCAAAAGATAAAGGAGAAGGCTAGAGTAAGAATGCCCCATGCAGGTGAGAAGCGTGTTATAGAGTAAGTTCAAAAGAGAGTGAAGGAGCGGGCTAGTAGCAGAAATGGACACTGGGACTGAGGCGTGAAGCAAGAAAGGGATTTGCAAGAAATAACCAAAATAATATTCGCATGTCATCTGAATAGAAAGATTTATTTGACTTTTTCTTTCTATTTTCTCATATTGACTGTAGTATTTTAGTTGAAAAATACACACACGGGCTGGCGATGTCTCTCAGTTGGTAGCACGCTTGCCCAGCCTGCACGAAGTCTTAAGTTCGTTCCCTAGCACTGCATAAACCAGGCCTAGCGACACATACCTATAATCACAGCATTTGGGGGAAAGCAGTAGAAAGAGGTATCAGGAATTCAAAGTCATCCTTAGCTACGTAGGAAGTTCGAGGCCAGCTCAGGTTACGTGAGTCTCTGTTTTGTTTTGGTTTCAAGTTCATAAGTAATTTCCACAACTGAAAACAATTATTTTACGTAGTATGTTCTTAGGATTCACAGACCTCTTGTCAAACTTGCTCAGCCACATTGATTAACTCGCTCATTCGTTATAGTCAAGAAGCAAACTTGAGTATAAAATACTCAGAGATATGAAGGTACAATGTTGGGAAAATAAGCAGAGTCCCTGCTCTTGTGAATTTAAAGTCTAATATCCCAAACAGTCTTGGAAGTAAGGCTAGACTGTGGAGAAGGACCACAGACACCATCTTTGAGGTCTATGTGTGTGTCCCATGTTCTTAACCTTAAGTAAGCTCTCGTGCTTCTCAGAAAGGAATAACCAGGGAGTTGGGCCCCCAGCTTGAGAGAAACGCAGAGACACTGTCAGCCACCAGGGAGAACAATGAAAGGCTGAGAAAATGCAGGCGGGTCCACAAAGCCACATCTCTCATCGAGAGCTACCCGTGTCCCACAGGCCACCTACCATCCGCAGGAAAGAGAATGAGACACAGAGCTAGCAACTGCACTAGAAAAATAAACACAGAATGAATGCGCCCACAGCACATGGCCATCCCCAGGACATTGCAAAGCCTACACTGGAGTCAGGAGAGGAGGCCTGCTGAGACTAGGACATCAATCAGTACAAATAAGGAACATCATTCCTCGATTTCTTCATTGCACAAATCCTTACCAAGTGACTACTATGCCCAGGGAGCTATAGAAGAGGGTGGAGTTAGAGGTCAAAAAGATGGTGTCCAGGCTCCATTGTCCCCGGTTACCTCCACTAACCTAACTGTCACACGGTTCTATGAAGGCTCCACTGGGAAACAGCACGCGGTGCTGCCGGCTCATGAGAAGAGGACAAGCCGGGATAACAATGATATGAAGTAATCAAAGCCTTGATTCCAACTCTGCAGGCCGTGAGAAACAGAAGGGAACTCATGTCCAGGTCAGGGATGAAAAAAGCCAGAGAGGGAGCGCCTAAGCAAGGAGCCATGCAGCTGGCACACCCAGTGACTTGGGCATCTGGACCATCTGTGTGAAGTCATCCTGGTACAGAAGAGCCAGGTAAACAAGCTGCGTGCGTGAGGAGACAGATACAACCCTCTCGCACCTCCAGGTCACCTTACTCCCTTCCTAAGAAGAACTCCCCTGGCTTGGCTAGAGGGAATCTCCTCCCACACAGGAGAGCTTGGTTTGTTTGTGTGGCAATCTAGTTCTTGTTTTGTTTGTGTTGTACCCATGGGGACCCAGAGTGGAACTGGATACAGGGTCCATTCTTATGAAATGTGCCATCATTTTTGGCCTAGCCTGGCTGGGTCAGGGCTTCTTGGGAAAACAAAATTCTAAGCAGAGGTCTTAAGAATGAAGAGGGTCTCATTGAGCAGGTACAATGTCACAGGGAAAGGAACCAGGGTGGGCAGACCAGGATACCGCTGGATATTTGAATGCACAACCTTAGATTCCATGTCCACCAAGCAATCTGCTAAATATAATTCGGCTCCCACAGGGAAAGAATGTACTGGTTGAGTTGACATAAACAGCCCACAGATTTGCAGCAGTGGTTCTCATTATAACCTAAAAGAAACAGATGTCCTGACTTTGAGACTTAGTCTTCTTCACAAACTAGCCTGAGGGACCTACTGAGTGGAGAAAACCATTCTTCAGTCGCCCCGCCCCCAGCAGAACTACCTGCCCCACAGTGAATCCCATACCCCATATAGGAGGCACCCTGTCCTCCATGCTACAACATCCTAAAGGCTCATGACTGAACCCTGAAGGAAACTTACGTTGCTAGGAATTAATTTGGCTTGTAAAGCAGTAGAAAGTTGCAGCTAACCATCTACATAAAAAGTTGTAAGAGGAAACCACCTATTAAAAAGATGTAAGGGAGCAAGCATTGCTGCAACTTACAAACCTGAAGTAAGTGTGAGACTGAACAGAGACTATATG